GATGAGAAATTACAGATATATACACAGTGTACATTATCGCAAACAAGCCTTCCGTATTTTTGTCATTCCGTAATTTTGATCTACAAATGATACCAAATCGCACAGTTGTGCGGAGAGAAGCGCACAACGGGGCGAACGATTGCTAAATCGCACAGTTGTGCGCACCATGTGTGGACGGTGTGCGGACGGTGTGTGAACGATGTATGCACGGTGAGCGCACGCTATTTTTGGTGCGTTGTGCGGTACCACAACTGTATTTCTTTCACATTAAGTACTGTACTAGTAAATATGTGAAATGACAAACTCACTTTGAAGGTTGGCTTTCATACACATCAGATCAAAAGTTACCTCAAGGTGCATTTACTGTTAACATGACTCGATCAAACAGATTAGAGGAAAGAAGAGAAAAGATTGAACTGACAGAACTAATAAAGATGGTACAAAGGTGGGCGCCAAGATCCCTCTGGGATCTCTTGTTGTTTGACACCAGGACAATAAGACAATAGGTCCGGCTAACCGTAGCCTACATCGCCTGAGGTGATCATGCACCTATCCACTCCAAGTGAATTTTTCACATCTCGCTTCACCCCAGTCAGTGGAAAATAATAGATCGACCATCGCTTGATGGTCATATAATTTAGTCTTAACAAACATGTGTGGAAGTTTATAGCTATCTAAAATGGAAATAATTAGGCCAATCAACATTTTATAACACAAATTCTGATAAGAAAACGAGCATGCATTTCATTAATATTCACGGTTACCTTTGAGAAAATCATGCCGATTTCCATGAAAATAATACTCCAGAAGGAAGACGTGTGTTTTCAATCATTTAAGCAATAGATTCTCTATTACATTAGAAGTTTATTTCCCCTTGTCGCCGTTACAGAAGTGTCAACATGGGGCTACCGTCCTGACAGCATGGTGCCGGAAATTGATCCAAACTCACATAATTGTCGTAAACAACTGACGACGACTGCTTTATTTACACTATACAACCTCTTCGTTGAAAGGAATATTTGATTATTATTAAAAAGGGAATATTTAGTGGGTTTTTGTAAATATTTCTATACAAGTTGATTTCACCGCACGACTTGCGAGGTACAGGTAAGACCAGGCGAGATAAACTCACTCGATGGGTATTGGTCAAATCCTTCATGCTCTATAATTTACATACAAAGAGCGATGTAACTGTGTTTCAAATGTAACGCTTAATTGACACGCTATAATTGTTATAAGTGTTTACCTCTGTGCCTGTAACGATAATTACACCGTTTATCAAGACTTGTGTCTAAATGTAAATACATAGTTAATTATTAAATTGATAGTTTATATTTCATATTTTCGTTTAGTTTATATTTCGTGTGTTTAAAATTTCGTTGGGATAATATTTCGTGGTTTTTATAAAACCACGAAATAAACGAAACTAAATCCCCATCGAAATATTATGCTTTTACAGTATCCCATCTGAAAAAATCTTTTCAGACATGTTATGAAACAGAATTAGTCTCCAAATTGAAAATTATAATATTTCAGTTCAAACACATATCTGACTTAAAGTGAACTCTAATCAATTAAAACCCTTTAGTCACTATTATAAAGTATTGTTGTTGATACATTTTGTTGCACAATTACTTTTATAATCTTTTGATAATATATCTACTGTGTGTTTATGTATGTTTTTTGATATTGAGATCTGTATGATGCTGATTTATACAGCATGGAGTGAACATCTATAATACAATATCTAGACTTGATGGTTTTCTTCATAGATCCAAACCAACATTTGTAATGCACAAATACTATATATATGTATTTGCTGTTAATACTTCAACACTGGTGTGAAGGACACATGTGTAACCATTAACATACAGGAAGGGGATGAACTGGAATGCTCTCCCTGTCATATTTTCTCTTTGCCCACTGAGTGCAATGTATACCTAAAATGAAAGTAGAAATAACTCTCTCTGACCTAGTACAATGTATGCCTAAAATGAAAATAAAAATATAATACTTGCATGTTGCAGTATGTAATTTTTGTGAGTATTATATGTAAGTGACATTTCATGTAGCTGTTTCTTTGCTATTTTTACAGGCGATCTCTGTTGGCCCAACATCAGGCTCGCGTCAAAGAAGCCTTCAACAACATGGGGTCATTTAACGCCAGCTTGACTGTGGGACGCAAGGCACTACAGGTACAAACTCTATATTCTGTAATCACGTTGTTTGTATTTCAACTGTTATCTGAATCTGTTTTGGAGATTAAGTAGATCTGATATAGGCATAGACGAGACTGCCTGTTAGATATACGATGTAGTTGTCGGGAACAACAAGGTATCCTTAGTTTATGACACAGACAGATGAGGCTATATCCTTTGGGCTTATTTAATATTCATTTACCCCCAAACTTCCCTCTTGAAAAATGTTGAAAAAAATGGACAAAAGGTAAAATACAGTGTTGTAGAAAGAGTTAGTTATAGCACCTCATTGATTTGTCAACAAAACTGTTATTCCATCCCAAAATCTTTTATAGTAAGGCAAAATATAAACAAAGGAAACATTTACATGGAGACACTTGAGAGAGTACAGGGAGAATAAGACCAGGTGTTCCGGAAGGGTTAGCATCCTCTGCTTCAGCAGGAACTGAGAAAGTGATCACTTAAATAGCAAGACACACTAATGAGCACAATTTTAAGTGCCTTTTTTTTAGTCCCCTACCGGTGAAACCTGGGGGACTATAGGTTTCCTCTCCATCCGTCTGTGTACGTACGTACGTAACACCAATGTTTGTCAGCGCTCTAGCGGCTTCATTCCTTGAGGGATTTTAATCAAAATTCACACAATTACATAGGACCATAATATCTCGGACATGTTTGAGTTTCAGGGTTGTCGGGTCAAGGTCAAGGTCACTGTTACTATTTTTAGAAAATCCTTGTCAGCCCTCTAGCAGCTTCATTTCTTGAAGGGTTTTTGATCAAACTTCATACAATTACAAAGGACAATAATATCTCGGACAAGTTCGAGTTTCAAGGTTGTTGGCTCATGGTCACCATTACTATTTTTAGAAAATCATTGTCAGCGCTCTAGCGGCTTCATTCCTTCAGGGATTTTGATCAAACTTCACACAATTACAAACGAATTTCAGAGTTTTTGGGTCAAGGTCACCGTTACTATTTTTAGAAAATTCATTGTCAGCGCTATAGCGGCTTTATTTCATCAGGGATTTTGATCAAACTTCACACAATTACCAAGGAACATAATATCTCTGACAAGTTTGAGTGCCAGGGTTTGTCAGGTCAAGGTCAAGGTCACCGTTATTTTTTTTTTTTTAGAAAATCCATTGTCAGAGCTGTAGTGGCTTCATTCCTTGAGGGATTTGGATCAAACTTCACACAATTACAAAGTACCATAATATCTCGGACAAGTTTGAGTTTCTGGGTTGTAGAGTTGAGGTCAAGGCCAGCGTTACTATTAATACAAAATCCTGGACAAGTTGAAGCCAGTGATGGACTGATGATCGATATATAATAATCGAACATCGATTGATTTGTCCTGTTCGATTCCGATTATCGATAACAAATTCCATAACGATATAATCAGTTCATTACTGAACTTTTAAAGTGTCAAATTTCTATGTAATATACAGTATACCTGGAAATTCATTTATTCTGATTTTTTTTTACAATATGACTGATGGTAATGTAGAATAGAAAAATTACATTAAATTCAGGTACAAGCTAATTGTATATTTTTCATTTTCCCAAATTAACACCAAGGGCACCATTTGTTATAAATCATTACAGTGTAATAGCTGGCGGGGGCTGGTAGGGGACATGTATACTCAGTATACTCAGTATGTTTGTTTAACCGGCCAACTAGCTAGGCCATCTAAATGAATGCCTTTTACTACTATTGAGATATTGGACCAACAGTTTTATATGTGTCTTCCTTTTATCCAAAGTTTATGTGTCTCATTCATACATATGGTGGTTTACTACCTATTTTTGTTTTTGGCCTTAATGAGGCATTTATTATTTTTTTCTTTTAATTTCGTAATGAGTTCACTATTTTTGCCTTGCTTTCAGACAGAGTGCACTATTTTTGTCTCTTTGATTTGCTGTAAAGTTCATTTCTTAAGTTAAGAGTTCTTTTTTTTCTTTTCGTTTCTCCATTTCATAAATGATACATTATTTTGTCTCCGTCTTTAAACAGATTTCACTCTTTTGACATTTAATGTTTATTTCTAGAATTTAAGCATTAACTGTTCATTGCCTTCTTTTTGTGCAGCTCATTCAGGATTATGAACAACGGCTAAAAGAGGAGAAAATGCAGGGATGGGTAAGTTAAGTGTCAACACTCACCTGTTAATATAGAGACTAAGTCTCTATAGGCAGCTTTTAAAGCTTACTCGGGATGCTGAGGTCATTAATCTGCTGCTTTGTCATAAATAATTTACTGCTCATACAAGCATTCTTAATACAATTTGTACTGAAAGTATCTAAAATATACCAAGGCTTTTTCATTTACTTGATCAAAATATGATGAACACACGGTAAAACCTCAATATATAAAGCCCATCGTGTTGTTGGCCACTTCATTCATCGCCAATGTAATTCTAGTCCTTTTTTCTTTCTTGTCAACAATTCCTTTTATGATCTCACTTAATTTATTATGAACCCGGAATATGATGCCAATATCTCGCTGAACAAAACAAATCATGAGGTTTTACTGTACTGAAAAAGATGGAGACTAACAATTGATTTACATTAAGATTATAATTTGTAACAAATGCTATCTAACTACTGTCATTTACAAAAAACTAAATACTTTTTATGTCACTTTTTAGCTTTCATATGATAAGCAATGGAAATATTTATATATATATATATAAATAGTCCAGAATGTATTTTATTCTTTATAATTTTAACAAAGCTATATTTAAGCGTGTTTATTAAAAAACTTATGGCAAGGGAACAATTTGTTGTAAGCATAATTTATTATGAACCATTACAAACTTATTTTACAATATATATTGTAGTTGTACTTCTGACAATATGAGCAAATAGAATAGACTTTGTTAGTCATAACTTTGACCCCTGGCCGACTTTTATGAAAGAGTTAAAATTTGTACAGGAAAGTAATGTGGGAATTCAGACCCCCCGTATTTTCAACCCAAAGCACAAAGATGACTTATGACCCCTACAACATTTACATACACTATACAGAGTGCCTTAAGTCGAGCTAAAGAGCCTCCACATGACCAAAAGAGACGAAGTAAAAAAAGAAAAAGTAAGCAACAAGAAAGCTTTAAAAAGAGCAAGAAGCTAGGGGTGATTCCAAATGGGCTCGCACACGACCACACTGTGATACGTGACAACAGTCACGAGGCCTTACTGAAACCAGCCCCCGATTCGCCGGACTTCACACCAGAGGTGGAGCTCACCAGTGTCAATGTAGAGGTAACCATGGCAACCATGCTCCTCCATGTTGTTTGGCTTGCGGTGATCAGCATGTGTATCCATGGTAACCTGTTTCGCATGAGTAGATACGACATGCATGACTTTCATCATCATGAATGGCCCTAACACTGGAGTACCATCAATCACATGACAGGAGATCTAGAGATTAACTGTGCTTTCTTATTTTCCTTTTTTAAGTGGTCAAACAAAAAATCATCTTAGGCTGGATTTAATTGTTTTATTTTTACTAACAGATCTCTTTTAATAACATATTTTCGTAAACTCATGCCTTACATGTAATCACTAACAACAGGTGGTGTTGGCTGCACAGTGTATTTGTACGTAATGTTTTGGCTGCACAATTGTACTGTTTTGCTTGTAGATATATATAATATTCTGCTTGGCCTGATTTATATTAATATAGATGTACATTTATTTTCTGCTCCTCAATGCATAGACACAAAATGAAAAATAACACTGGTATATTGCATAAAAAAATTACTTTGCATAGACACTAGGTACCATTGATTTGCCGAGCAAGGTTGGGGTAAATTTGAAGAAAAAAAAGAAAAAATAATTTCAGATTGTTTTGCTCTTGCTCATAATCTATTTTGTAAGTGCAATCGATAACTTAAGGCTGGCTGTGGTATGTGTATTTACCCAGAACAGTATTGTCTCTAGATAACTTAATTAAGGCTGGCTGTGGTATGTGTGTTTACCCAGAACGCTATTGTCTCTAGATAACTTAAGGCTGGCTGTGGTATGTGTGTTTACCCAGACCATTAATTATTGTCTCTTAGATAACTTAAGGCTGACTGGTGTTTGAGGTGTAATGGAATAACAATTTACTTCCATGAATCTGAAGCATACTTGCAACTCTTTTGAAAAACACTTAATTCATATTGCTTGGAAAACCGTTACATTTTTACATGTATGTTTGTGAAACTAACAATGAAGGCTGTGGAAAACTTTCTTGTTTCATTGTTAACATTAGTTATTCTATGGATGTAGTTCCTATTTGATTAAGCAATACCAAGTTGTCGGTTTTTCATCAGATTTTACTACTGATAAGATTCATTTTCTGGATTACAGGATAATGTTTTATACAGAACACATTGTGAGTTACATATTTTGATATTAATGTGTGGTGTTAAAAGAATCTCATGATGTAGTTCTATCTTCAACCCATTTACTCATCTAACCAGCTTTATTTATCAATTGTTTTATAGTTAGCAAACTTTAAAAAAACATGCATTTAGTAAAGCATAGTTTGCATAGATCCTTATTTTACACTGCTAAAATGAAGTTAGCTGTTACCAATTCCAATATGATAATTTTTAAAATTTCAAAAAGCTAATTTTAATGATGGTTGGCATGTTTGATTGTCAGTCAATGAAGACGGCGGAGAACATGGTGAGCAACATAGACGAGGGGGTTGTGGATATGCTGGAGTACAAGGACGACGGCTACATAGAGCTGGTCCTCAAACTACTAGCCAGACTCTGTGACGGTCAACACTGCGGACTTCAGGTAACCACTAACAGGACACAATTTAAGTCTTCTATGGAAAATCTCCTTTTCCATTAATATATTAAGATATTTTCAAACAGGAGATCGTTTATGAACATACATGGAGGTAAGGACCAGATAAAAGTTATGTTTAGTAAGCCATGCTCAATGGAATATGTAATTTGGACTGCATTTAAAAATTGTTAACAAAAACAGGCAAACAATCATCTTTTCTACTTTCAAAGTCCATTGTCCAAACTGGACCTCTCTGCAATGTGATCTGAATGTGACAGCATTGACTTCTGATTGCATTACTATATAAGGAGCTAAAATCTTAATTGATTTAGATGCCAATTATGTAATTAGTGATCAGAATTCCAGTTTTTATCCATTGGCTGTACAACAGAGGGCAATTAAGCAGTTACCTGGGTTTAAGAAATTTCCTATTCAGATAGACTTACCGGTAAAAGCTTGAATTATCAACACTGGTCTTCAGAAGGATCAGGGGGAGATATGATCAAATTTTTTAAAATTATGAGCAATATCTGCAATAGTAAGGCAGCAGACTTTCTTAAAAGCTGGAACGACAAGGTCAAAAGACAGGGGACAAGGTCCAAAAACAGGGGACAAGGTCCAAAGACAGGGGACAAGGTCCAAAGACAGGGGACAAGGTCCAAAGAAAGGAGACAAGGTCCAAAGACGGGCGATAAGGTCCAAAGACGGGGGACAAGGTCAAAAGACGAGTATAAGGTCCAAAGATGGGGTACAAGGTCCAAAGACGGGGGACAAGGTCAAAAGACGGGGGACAAGGTACAAAGACAGGGGACATGGTCCAAAGACGGGGGACAAGGTCCAAAGACGGGGGACAAGGTCCGAAGACGGGGGGAAAGGGTCCAAAGACAGGGGACAAGGTCCAAAGACAGGAGACAAGGTCCAAAGACAGAGGACAAGGTCCAAATACAGAGGACAAGGTCCAAAGACAGAGGACAAGGTCCAAAGACAGGGGACAAGGTCCAAAGACAGGGTGAAGGTCTAAAGACAGGGGACCTTGACAGGGTACAAGGTCCAAAGACAAGGGACAAGTACAAAGACAAGGGACAAGGGACAAGGTACAAAGACAGGGGACAAGGTCCAAAGACAGGGGACAAGGTCCAAAGACAGAGTACAAGGTCCAAAGACAGGTACAAGGTACAAAGACAGGATTGTAAACTGGATATCAGGAAAAACGCTTTGGTCTGCGCATAGTCGAAATATGGAATAATCTTCCAGAACAAGTAATCTCGACACCAACAGTAAACTCTTTCAAAAACAGATTAGATAAGCATTGGGAAGATCTCGAACTTATTTATAACTATAAGTCTGAAATTCTATAGAAAATAGAACTGTTGTCACAATTGATTTGTTTAATGTATTGTTATTAATGTATATTTGAGCACAGTGTAGAGGATCTTAAATGATCCTGTACTGGTAATAAGCTTAACTGAACTTAACTTATTACGTATGTTACATTAAAATCAATAAAAAAAAAAATGTGGCAAACATTTCTTTGTGTTACAGAACTACATGCGAGAACAGCCAGACAATGTGAAGTCGTTTAATATCGTAGGCGAGACCGCCCAGTTCCTCAATGTTGTGTATTCCACCATCAACAGCAAAACCATTGACCTCATCATCCAGGTCTTCAGTACACTCAACGAGTTCTGCTCCGTAAGTTCTACAGAACAATTGCCTTCCTCTCTGCAAGTTCTTCAATATGTGCACCTGAGTGCTCATTTTGACCCTTACACTTTCAGCTCCGTAAATTTTACGGAATGACTTATAAATTCTGCTCCGCAGCTCACACAGGATCTTTTTTACCTTCTTTTAGTGTGATTTTCAAAAAGATTGCTTATTACTTGCAACATGCATCAAGTTTTTTTGATTTTTTAATATATTTTCAGGGCAACCAGGAAAACAGATTTGTAATTTATGACAGGAAAGTTGTGGACTATATCAACTTCATCCTTAGGGCTGGGGAGTTGGCTGACTGTGATCCAGAGAAAGTAAGTGTTAAAATGGGTGTGTGGAGGAACTGGACTGGGTCGATCATCAGCGACCGGGTAGCTCAGTTGGTAGAGTATCCGTCTAGAGTTTGGAGGGTCCCGGGTTCGAACTCCAGTTTGGCCGTGCATATTTCTTCTCCTGTTACAGGTGAAAACTGAACAAGATCAAGAAAAGTTAAGTGTAGAAAGGAGATCGAAGATACCTGACTGATACATAGAGGTTTGGGTGGAAGGGGGAGATAACTGGCTTTATTAATGACTGGAGTCAATGTATCAATAACCAAATCACTGTATCAATGACTAGTGTCAAGATATGGCCATAAATGCTTATATTTATGTCATTGACAGATCCTTGACCTACGGCAGGCCATTGCATCCCTGGTGATTGCCCTGATAGAAGAGAATGGTCCTGGCAAGTCACAGGTGGCTAAGGTAGGTAGACCTTACCAGTATTGATATACACATTCCTTATTATGTAATTATAGTTAGGTTTGAATGTTTGCAGTGAGGTACTGTTGATACAGGACAGGTGTTGATCAGTATTATATCAGCATGACTAATGGTTTGTGTTAGGCTCTAGGCCCTACATCTGAGATGTGAGTTATCTATGGTAATGACCATGTCTGTCTGTCTGTCTGTCTGTTTGTCTGTTTGTCAATTTGTCCACACGTTCAGAAGTCTTAAAATATTTGGCAAATGTCACAAGTTGATACACTGTTATATGCAGATGCATATAAGCTATTCAACAAGTTCATTATATATGTAGATGAAGGTCACTTAATAAAAAATAAAACATGGATACTGTCAGAAATACATTGTTAAATATGGTTGCATTTCAATAAAACTTGGTTGTTAGTAATCAGTGCCAGGACTGTGGGAGATGAAAGCAGTGTATCATATTCAGGTCACTGTGACCTACTTTTGATACTGCTGCCTTTAACAAATCATATCACAGTATGGTCCTCATCTAGCTGTTCATTAAAGTCAAGGTCATACTTCAAGGTCAAAGATCAAATTGCTATATCTTGATGATCCATAGGAATGCAGTGTTATAGCTTCATGCATTTGTCACACTTGGAATACCTGTAGAGCACAGGGACGAAGTCAAAGGTCAAACCTCAGTACCCTTAAAATGTCACACTTACCATTGGAATTGGTTTAACAAATTAATTGTCACACCTCTATACCTAAACATTATTATCACTGCTGACATTTACCAGGTATATTGTATATATTTATGACATAATTACCAGAGGACACTTTCTGTGTAAACATGTATACATTTCTTTTATTGCTTACTCCTATGTTGATCTGTGTACATTTCTTTAGAATGAAATTCTTTATTTTTAACATAATATAAGCATGTTTTTCATCACAGTCAAGGTTGGTATGCTCAAGGTTCATACAGGATTGAAAAAGCAAAATAAAATGTTCATTAATTTGAGAAATTATTTCTAGAAATTAAACTCAAAGTCTATTAAGATAATCAATAAATGGATTTCTGTATGAAATGACGTAAAATTATGGAGACAATTTTTTTTAAAACAAGTTTAGAAAAACTTCTTTTGATAAGACTCATTTAAAAAAAGAAAAATGTCAGGATTGGAGGTGAAATGATAATGGTAAAATGGGCTTAAGAATGTATATGTCACTGTTACCCTAGTAACATATATACTAGCTGCTTCTTATTCCTAATAACTTGGGTAGGAAGAATTTCTGTTTAACTCATTCAGTAGAGCATAAGGCTAGTAGGACAGATGTCCTGGGCTGGACCCCTAGGGAAGGCATTGGAAAAACAATTACCTCTGTTCCATTTCCTTATTTTAACATTTAATCCTTTCCAAAAGAGTTCTGCATAAAGCTCATGTTTACTATTCTCATTTAATTCCGACATATTTACCTTCAAAATATTGGAGAGAGATAACTCTAATACATATGAAAGGCATAATGCAAAAGCTAGCACATGTGTATTCGGTGTATTCTGCCACTGGAAAACCCTAAATTTAGATAGGTTTGAAATTCCTGTATGAGCCTTAGTGCTAGATGTATGAATAGTTCGTACAGAAAGTTTGAGCTCAACAATTTTGATTTAATGCATGTCCTACAGACTGTAGAAAAAGATTTGTTTGAACTTTCATGTACATGTATTACAAATCGACAAATTATTCCTATATAGAGGTGTTAAACTATGGGATTTTATTTACATTGATATTGAAAAAAATCATTCCATTTACCAGGTATATAATAATTTTCAAAACAAAGCCATTTGCCCCATGTTAGCACGTTTTTACACCTTCCCCATTTTCCACTTAATCACATTTGACATCTCCCTAACTTTCCTGATCTACCTCCATGCAAGACCGTTTGACATCTTTCCCCATTCTTTTGATCTGTCTCCATGTAACCATGTGAGCTCCTTTTGACACCTTCCCTTTTTGTCTAATTGATTTCCATGTTAGCATCTTTTGATACCTACCTCCCTTTCTATATCTTTCCATGTAAGCACATTTTGATACCTCCCCCACTTTCCCATCTCTCTTCATGTAAGCACCTTTTGATACCTCCCCCACTTTCCCTGCATCTCTCTTCATGTAAGCACCTTTTGATACCTACCCCTCTTTCCCATCTCTCTTCATGTAAGCACCTTTTGATACCTCCCCCACTTTCCCATCTCTCTTCATGTAAGCCCCTTTTGATACCTCCCCCCCTTCCCCTCCATCTCTCTTCATGTAAGCACCTTATGATACCTCCCCCACTTTCCCTGCATCTCTCTTCATGTAAGAACCTTTTGATACCTACCCCTCTTTCCCATCTCTCTTCATTTAAGCACCTTTTGATACCTCCCCCACTTTCCTATCGCTCTTCATGTAAGCACCTTTTGATACCTCCCCCTCTTTCCTATCTCTCTTCATGTAAGCACCTTTTGATACCTCCCCCACTTTCCTATCGCTCTTCATGTAAGCACCTTTTGATACCTCCCCGACTTTCCCTGCATCTCTCTTCATGTAAGCACCTTTTGATACGTCCCCCACTTTCCTATCTCTCTTCATGTACGCACCTTTTGATACCTCCCCCACTTTCCTATCGCTCTTCATGTAAGCACCTTTTGATACCTCCCCGACTTTCCCTGCATCTCTCTTCATGTAAGCACCTTTTGATACCTCCCCCACTTTCCCCCCATCTCTCTTCATGTAAGCACCTTATGATACCTCCCCCCCTTTCCCTGCATCTCTCTTCATGTAAGCACCTTTTGATACCTACCCCTCTTTCCCATCTCTCTTCATTTAAGCACCTTTTGATACCTCCCCCACTTTCCTATCGCTCTTCATGTAAGCACCTTTTGATACCTCCCCCACTTCCCCATCTCTCTCCTCTCCATGTATTTCTTGATCTATCTCCTTGTATGCAGCATTTGATTCTCAGCCCCTATTAAATGCACCTTCTAAGTTATCTACACAGTCTCTATATAAGCACCTTTTATCGTGTTTATGCAAGCTGCAATATATAATGTAAGCACATTTTGACTCTTTACTATAGTCGAACCTCGTTATCTTGAACTCTTTTAACTCGAAGACCCCGTTTATCTCGAAGTATTTCTCCGGTCCCGGCCAAATCTGTTCTTTATCTTAGTAAATAAAACTCTGATAATTCGAACCCTGAAAAGTCGAAAAACTCGGATACCTCGAAGTAAAATATTGGTTTCAATAGCGTTAATCCAACGTAGTATCCAAATTTCATTTTGTCACTTGTTAATTCTTTGATACAAATAAAACGCAAAAGTACGACATTTTGCTATTCCGTGTTTATGAACATCTTTCGTAAGTAGACTAGCATGAAATCAGTAAAAAAGAATTTACGATAAAGCTTAGGACTGTAAAGTTTACGGACTGTCAAAACCATGTTATTCATAATAAAAAACAAACTGCATCAATGTTGATCAACAGTAATCTGTACTTACTGCGAGTCCGTTTAATGATTTGTACACCTAAACAGACGACAGTGCAAACCGGAAAATTGGTCACAAAGCGTGGTCATGCATAAAAGAGTTCCACAGTTAAAATCACAACCTAGGACAGCTTTACGGGTTCATGTTTTTACAGGAGCCAGTATGGCTTTGAAAGTCGATCGAGAGATTTAAGAACAAAACGATAATTGCTGTTGATTACATCGAGTTGAGGAGGTGTCAGGTGTCATATTTGGCTTTAATGAATCAATGTGTCACATGTACGATATAATTTGTTTGTGTGTTTTCATTTACAGAATCAACTATGCGTACGCTCCATTACAGTGATTTGTTTTAGACTTGCGCACTTTCATTTCCGCATTGTAAACTACGAGATCAGAGACAGCGGGATAGTTCGGTTTGAAATGTAACACTTCAGAAGTAAAACTTGACAGACTTACAAATACAAATGCAGACTTGGAAAGATTTGCCAATATCTATACTAGCCAAAAACAACATTTAATCACTAGGCCCGTCCATATTTAATAACGAATTCACAAAATGGTCCATCCGTTTTGATCGCGTTTAAAAACGAAAGTACGTTTTTTTGAAATAACTTACTCTATTTTTGTTAGCGTGTTTATTGTAAAATTACATAGCTGTATTTGTTATATTGATTACGTATATCATTTATCGATTGATTTAAAGCATTAACTATTAATAAAACCAACAACTGCTAGTGCTATGTCCCAACAGCAAATTTCATACCAAATCTATGAACCCGCATAACTCGAATACTCGGATAACTCGAAGTTTTCCAACGACCCCGTCGACTTCGAGATAACGAGGTTCGACTGTATATCATAAAAGAGTTTTAAGAAAAGAAAAAAAAATTACAGGAAGAAGTTTAAAGGTTATTATTTCCATTTATTTTTCAAATAAAATTGCAGCTTCCCAAAGAGAGTCTATCCAATGTCATCTCATTTTTTTTTTCACATACAAATACTCAACAATGGAAACAATCAATATTTTGATTAAGTGCTGCCCTAGAAATATACAATGGTTGTAAGGATCCCCATACCACTGACAAAAACTGACGCTCCTTACCCTGACACTCCAACCACCACTGCACCTATTCTAGCACATTAAATTCTGTCAAGTGACCTAGAGCTTTTGATTGACTGTGTCCATAGTAAAACTTTAAAAAGAATAAATTATTTTTTACAAAAACATATTGTCAGTTTCAAAATTAAATTTTTAAATAAAAAGACAAAAAGTTTAATCAATGGAGATTGGTGTTGCGATTACACTTAACCCCAAACAAATGTTTTCCAAGTGGTCAGGTGTATTGGATTGCATGGGGCAAAGAGGTAAACATTAATTTTACAAAAGGAAAATTCTGAACTTACAGTCATTATGTCAAACTTTAATTTCATATACAATATTATAAAAACAGCTTTGCAATCTTTGTTTCGCAATTGTATTCTGAGAAGAAACCAAGCTTTATTAGGGAGTGTTTACTGCAGTGTATCTGATGTCTAATGTGTCTGTAACCACTTCTTTTCTATTTTCTTTACTGTATTCGTCGTTTGCATGTTTTTGACTTTTTATATTTTTATTCTTTTGTTTATTTATATTTGCACATAACTTAAAGCAAGGCAAAGCTGATGAACTCAGGTACATCCACAAGGTTAGTATATATGTCTCTACTTCATTGTACAGCTGCACCCCAGCTAGTGATTGCTGCACACTGCATAACCATGCATTGATATCCTACAGTGTTGATCTCATTATATGAAGCCTTAATCAATTATCAGCTAACCTAAAATAATTATAACATCATACATGAACTTAATATATTTTGAACTTCTTTTCTTAAACCATGGAACAGATCTCAACCAAACTCCTATCCCTCAACATGGTTTTTGGAGAGATAATTGTACATAATTTTCAAAAACTCTTCTCATGATCTAGATTTAAAGGTTTAAGCTTATGAATAATACTTCCTCATATTGAGTGCCTATACACATGTAATCCTTTATTGGGCCTCAGGAGGTCAGAATTCACATCAGGTTATAGAGAGGAAAAGCAAAATGAAAACACTGCATAGAAATAAACCGAGTTTTGTGAAGAAACATCATCAAAGTTTCCTTGTCTTGCACCCTTTCGTCTTGAAGACATAGGGCCCAAAAGAGGTTGTAAATAAAAACGTTATTATAAAAAGGTTTTAAAATATTATCCTTAAGACATAAAAATAGCAGAGCTTAGAGTAGGAAGGGGTAAGAGTGAGGATTGTTTAAAGTTTCCTGGGGCTTCTGTCAATGTTGTGGGTTGGTTTCCTTGGTTTCCATTTAGGACTTTGGGTCGGATTCCCAAAATTATTCCTTGTAAGAAATTGAAAACTAAAGGAATTTCAACCAAATTTTGCAAACAGTGTTCTTTTTAAAAGGGTTCTCATGCAAAAGTGATCTGGAAAATCAATTCCAAACTTAAACCTTTCACTGACATTCTACTGAGCCAAATTCACTTGTGTTAATGCTAATAAAGCCCACTGGCCTTTTACTACAGTTCTATTACAGGACAAGGCTTCAGACTGCTAAATCTAAACTTCTTGGTTAATGTTGTCCCTTAAAATCTAGAGGAGATTTTTGTGAAGAATGGAATGATATAATTATACATTAAGCAACCAGAATTAATTAATTTAGATATATAATAACTACAGTTGCATGCCCATAATCAAAACTTTCACTGATTCCTACCTGAGCTGTGTCTCCTGATGAACAGTTGGCTTTAGAGTTGTACAACCAGCTATCCACACGACCGCTAGTCTGAAGCATTCAGATGTCTCGCGTTGAGTTTGGATAATCAACTTTCAACTGTACATGGCATAATACATATTTATTATATAATATAAGGCTTCTGCAGTGCAATAAAGGGGTGCAATAAAATTGATATTGAACGTGTGCAATAAAGATGCAAATGAGCGCGCGACACCGTGGGAACTAGGTCGTATTCCTACGCACTACTACTACTACTACTATAGTATAGGCCTACTACAACATGCATTTTATATAGCTACTACAACAAAAAGCTCACCTGGAAGTCATGAGACTTGGTTCAAGCGCCAACCCGTTGGTATCAACAAGCTAAAATCCATGATGCAACGTGCCATAAAGGGAGCAGGAATCCAAACTGACAAACACTTGTCAAATCACAGTGCGAGGAAATATCTTGTCCAGAAATTGAACGATAATAACATCCCCGCTAACCATATAATGCAAATTTCTGGTCACCGAAACATTTCTTCTATTAATAATTATTCACACATCAACACGAATCAACACAAAGAAATCTCCAAAATACTGCACGGAAATCCAACAGCACCTGAGACCGGATGCAACACAACATCACTGACACAACAATCAATGGCGTGTAACCAGTCAACTTCCTCTGTTGTCAGGGTCCAGGGCGGTTTCCAAAGTATCTTTTCAGGTGCTGTCACAGGAGGAAACATACAAGTTCATGTTTACCAAGGACCTCCTCTGAAAAAACGCGCCCGTGTTATAGAAAGTGACAGTGATTCTCAGTAGGCCTAATATCCAACACATGTGTTTTCGGTTTCCGACGACCTTCACAGTGCGCGCGCTCTTACACTGTTCATGACGTCACCGATGAAAAAAAAACAGTTTTTTTCCGAAGCGAAAAAAAAGAAGTCATATTTTGTAAACTTTTATTATTTCAATTGTTATCACAATTAAAATGATCGTTAAAAGTAAAACTGTTGGCCATTTATTATTCTGATAAAATTCTGAGGACTACTTTTGTTAGCGGAACATGTTCTCAAATTAGTATATGTGATGCGTCCTTTCTCGTCGTCAACCACTTATGTAGGTAGGTTTCTCGAATTATATAATAAATAGAATCTAACACTCGTGTTCATGTTATATTGAATTTATTGAACTCGTATATTTATTTCATATGAAACTCGCCAAAGGCTCGTTTCATATGAAACTAATATACTCGTTCAATAAATTCAATATAACATGAACACTCGTGCTAGATCCTCTATATATTTATGATATACTAATGGTGATTAATGTACTAAAATGTACTAACTGTTGATCACACTAAATAAGGAAATATCACTATTAATGGTGGAATGTTGACTGTCCATCCTGTCATGTTGATAGGAGTAATTACAGAGCTGTTTCTTACCATCCTGCCAATGATGAAAAATCTTTTCTCCAGATTTCTAGATTTCCATATTCCAATTTTTTTGTCACTTTTCCGTCATTCCTGATATTACATTGGTAGTTAGTTCCCCTTAAAAGATCTCTACATAATGTAAAACTGGTGGAAAGAGGAAGAAATAAATGTACAAAAGCTATATTTCTTTTGAAGAAACAGTGACTTTTTACCAAAAGCAGGATTGGAATCAGGTATGCTGTGCGTACTAATAAGATAGAACAGTTTCCTGAAATTATTGACGTGTTAATGTATAATGTTTATGGTCGAAGTGTTCATTTCGATAACTGAATCAAAAACTGCATTGAATTTAGAGATTAATATTATCTTTTATCCTCTTGCCGTGTGTTTAACAACTCAAAAAAAATGTTTACCCAAGGGTTGAACTCCCAGCCCATCTAGCCCCATAGTATTAACATAGCAGGACCGATAGTGCAGTGGATGAGCTGGTGGAAAAAAGGCCTAACAAATTGGAACTACTGTTTGTTGGAAATAAAAAAGAGAGTGCTGGAACTGCCAGTGTCTCTTGAATACCTTCAATGTTAACTTGTTGCTGAGTACCTTCTGTGTGTTAAGTGTGGTACTTAAGTTTGTGTAGCCAAGTACCTGCATCAAAAGTTTTCCTTTCTGATCCAACCACAAGAACATACTGTAAAAGAGTTTCAGAAAGATATTTCAAGCAAATGAGACATGAGGGTTTCAGAAAGATATTTCAAGCAAATGAGACTTGAGTTTGAGAAAGTTTCATGGAAACTGTCCAAGAACAATGATTATCTTTACATAATATACCTTCACTTTAAATGCTAAAATAAAAGCCCACACTAAAAAGCTGATATTTTCTTTAAGTTGGTCAAGTTGCATAACGTTGGTACAAAACATTGAGGATTCGATGCACAACAGAATTTCGATGACATTCTTTACAAAATATGACCTTGACATTGAAGTATGACCTTGTCCCTATACAGGAGGTGAAGGACACACTGGACAAGAACGCCCTGTACAGGTGTATGACACAGTGCTTTGAAATGCACCAAGCTGACAAACCTAAACTGGACGATGTACTAAACAATGGTCCTCCAGGATCAACCAACTATCTCAAGTCGGCCAAGTCCATTGCTGCATTTGGGGGAAACTTCATCTCAGGAGTCATGGTAAGGGTTATATGGTTAAATACAACGGAAATATCAATTTAGACATACAAAAGGGAAAATGTTATTTATTAGGCCTTGATTTACTTTCATCCCCCATTATGACAAGCCCCCCTAACCTTGAGGTTTAAGATGGTAATTATCAGGATCTGGATTTACTTTCATCTCCTCATATGAGGAACTCTATATATATACCTCCATTAAGCTTTTGGTTGAACTTGGTAACTATCAGGCTGTCATTTTACCTCCATCCTACCTTTAGTGTGATATGTTATTACAGTAGCATATTCTTGCTGATGTTTCCTACATGAACACTTTTCAATGTTTGTTTTTATTTTGTATAACCAGTCTGGTAAGAAGGAGAATGCCAGTATGAAGGAAATGTTGATGGAAGTTGGCTTCACATTCTACCTCATCCTAGCCAGAATGATCGACATTGACCCTGCCATGCCAGAGAGTAAGCATTATACAGTGTGTAGCAAGCATTACTGTAAAGCTTTTGAGAACAGCTTGAGCTAATGTATTTATCCTGCCATAAGGTCAAAGGACAAACACATATAGCCACTGATTCCAAGTACTGTATAACATGAAATGTTCGTTGTGTATAAACATTTGTGTTTTTCGTGGTTGCCATAGAACCATGAACATAAAGACAACGAATTTGAATGATACACGTGTCTACTGTTTGTTAATATAGGATATCCACAAAGTTTGTACCACGAAACGATCTAGATGGCTTCAAACCATGAAGGAAAGTACCCACGAACATTTTGTGCTATACAGTAGGTAGAAGGCTAATATTATAGGACAATGAAATAGAATTTATTAGCATTTCTACTGGATTGTGTTAGATATGGGTGGGCTTATTACCAGGTATGGGCCTATTGCTGGATACATTTGATACTGTTATTAATTTTATATTGGCATGATTACATTCTTACAGCAATGATGAATTTACAACTGAATAGCATGCTAATCAGTGCAAGATATAATGAATTTCTATGAACTGCAAACTCCCCAAATATTGTGATAGATTCATTTGTCACAGATTTTACGAGAACTGTCCTTCATGAGCAAGTAGTTTCTGCTATTTCATTATCCCGTCGTTCCTGTTTCCCCAGGAGTGGACATCTCTCCAGAACAGCGACGAGCCTTTGACTTCTACAAGAAAAATTCCATGTCTATCGAGATTGTCAAGGACAACATTCTACAAAAGGTCAACTTCCGAGTGAAGAACAAGGTAGATAACTCTGAGTTTGTTTTATACATTTTACCTCAGATTATCCTAAGATGACATAGAAGATGACTCTGTCCCATTGTAAATGATGATTCTTCTGAGACAATAATGAGAATCAGTCCCATCATCTGAGCGTAGGTGGAGATAATCCCACACTATCTCCTATATTGAATTTGTCTCCATTTCTTTAGACCGAGTACTAATATTTTATAACAAAAAAAACTACTTTGAATCAATATGTATGACAACTCTTTACCACAATGTATTAAGTGTATTGCTTTTACTTTCCCCTGTAGAACTATCTACGCGATGAAGTGAAGGAGAAACTTAAGTGGAATGTGGATCGAACTTCACCTAGTAACAAGATCCGTGACCTCATGAGTTGGACCAGAGACATTATGAAAGATATCAGTTATCAACGTCGAATACTTCACAACCCTATAGCCATGCTATTCACCAAAGGATGGTACGCAGATGGTTGATAATCAAAATTATAAAGTTCGAGTCACACACGTAAAAAAATATTTTATTTAGTTATTTCTCTTTCTTTTTCTCTAATGTTATTCTTAAACTAAATGAGAAATCAGATAATGAGCCTCCATAACTGAGTATGGTAAAGGTTGCAAACATGGTAATCTCCCCTGTCAGGTTGTTATGGAACTATCAGGCTACATTACTCAGTATTATTTAACATGGTTACCTCCCCTGTCAGGTTGCTATGGAACTATGGGGCTACATTACTCAGTATTATTTAACATGGTTACCTTCCCTGTCAGGTTGTTATGGAACTATCAAGCTACATTACTCAGTATGATTTAACATGGTTACCTCCCCTGTCAGGTTACTATGGAACTATCAGGCTACATTACTGTGTATGATTTAACATGGTTACCTCCCCTGTCAGGTTGCTATGGAACTATGGGGCTACATTACTGTGTATTATTTAACATGGTTACCTCCCCTGTCAGGTTGCTTTGGAACTATCATACTACATTACTCGGTATTATTTAACATGGTTATCTCCCCTGTCAGGTTGCTATGGAACTATGGGGCTACATTAATCAGTATGATTTAACATGGTTATCTCCCCTGTCAGGTTGCTATGGAACTATAGGGCTACATTAATCAGTATTATTTAACATGGTTACCTCCCCTGTCAGGTTGTTATGGAACTATCAGGCTACATTACTCAGTATGATTTAACATGGTTACCTCCCCTGTCAGGTTGTTATGGAACTATGGGGATACATGACTCAGTATGATTTAACATGGTTGCCTCCCCTGTCAGGTTGTTATGGAAATACAGGGCTACATTAATCAGTATTATTTAACATGGTTACCTCCCCTGTCAGGTTGTTATGGAACTATCAGGCTACATTACTCAGTATGATTTAACATGGTAACCTCCCCTGTCAGGTTGCTATGGAACTATCAGGCTACATTACTGTGTATGATTTTACATAGTTACCTCCCCTGTCAGGTTGCTATGGAACTATGGGGCTACATTACTGTGTATTATTTAACATGGTAACCTCCCCTGTCAGGTTGCTATGGAACTATCATGCTACATTACTCAGTATTATTTAACATGGTTATCTCCCCTGTCAGGTTGCTATGGAACTATGGGGCTACATTAATCAGTATGATTTAACATGGTTACCTCCCCTGTCAGGTTGCTATGGAACTATCAGGCTACATTACTGTGTATGATTTAACATGGTTACCTCCCCTGTCAGGTTGTTATGGAACTATGGGGATACATGACTCAGTATGATTCAACATGGTTACCTCCCCTGTCAGGTTGTTATGGAACTATGGGGATACATGACTCAGTATGATTCAACATGGTTACCTCCCCTGTCAGGTTGTTATGGAACTATGGGGCTACATTACTCAGTATGATTTAACATGGTTACCTCCCCTGTCAGGTTTGTTATGGAACTATCAGTCTACGTTACTCAGTATGATTTAATATGGTTACCTTCCCTCTCAGGTTGTTATGGAACTATCAGGCTACATTACTCAGTATGATTTAACATGGTTACCTCCCCTGTCAGGTTGCTATGGAACTATGGGGATACATTACTGTGTATGGGCTCAGGTTACAAACATTGTTAACTCCCCTGTCAGGTAGCTGTGGAACTATGGGACTACATTACTGTGTATGATTTAACCTTGTTACCTCCCCTGTCAGGTAACTATGAACCTATGGGGATACATTACTGTGTATGATTTAACCTTGTTACCTCCCCTGTCAGGTAGCTGTGGAACTATGGGGCTACATTACTGTGTATGATTTAATCTTGTTACCTCTCCTGTCAGGTAACTATGAACCAATGGGGATACATTACTGTGTATGATTTAACCTTGTTACCTCCCCTGTCAGGTAGCTATGGGACTTTGGGGATACATTCCTGAGTATGATTTAACATGGTTATCTCCCTTCTTTGGTTGGCACTGTTCTATTTAGCTTCATTACTCAATTTGAATCGATGACTGGCATCTTTGCATTAACATTCAGAGTGTAAGAAAATATGGGGTCTACATTGCTGAGTGTCATTTCATTGATTTGCTTACCTCCCCTGTCAGGTTGTTATGGAACTATTGGGCTACATTACTGTGTATGATTTAACCTTGTTACCTCCCCTGTCAGGTAGCTACGAACCTATGGGGATACATTACTGAGTATGATTTAACCTTGTTACCTCCCCTGTCAGGTAGCTATGGGACTATGGGGATACATAACTGTGTATGATTTAACATTGTTACCTCCCCTGTCAGGTTGCTGTGGAACTATGGGGCTACATTCCTAAGCGTGGCTATCAACCTGCTGATGCTACTGACGTGGAACAACAAGGCGACAGAGGAGGACTACGCCAAGTTGGCTGAATATGGGTCAACGCATGCACCCTTACCTGACGGCTCGCCTGGTAGTACACTCTCCCCCCCAAACTGGGAAGTGTTCAAGGAGTGAGTAGTCTTCACCATGAAAAGGAGTAGTAGATATTATGAGAATTGACCTTCTTTAGATAATCGGGTCCCATCCCGAACCAGTTTTAGTTATCTCTGCCTTGGGTAATTAAATAACACTGAGAATGAATTGGACTAAAATCTTAGGTACAATATTACTGTCAGATATGATGTATGACCTCTGTTGATATTGGTAAACAATGATTTCTATTTTTTTCTCTCGTTTCAGCCCAGTGCCAAGGATATCCGGGATCTCCCTGGACACCTACACGATACTGATGTATGCCCTGGGAGGAACACACAACCTCTTCTCTCTCTTTGTTCTCATCAGTTACTTCCTGTCCAATCACCCTAGTCTTCCTACTTGCAAAGAGATCACCGACGTTGTCAGGTAATTCGGAAATTTCTGGTTTTAAATGTTTAAACGTGACTGGTTTTCAAATTCAGTCTATACAAAGGTTAACATTTTACAAGGGGCCACTTTTAATTATCAGTTTTCCTTTTCGTCTGTTCCAGGGGTGTGTTTGGGAAGAAGGAGAAAGTTGATGATTCAGGAGACCAAAAGAAGGAGGAGGGGTCCAAACTGGAGGTCAAGTTCTTCAGTTTTACAACGTTTTATTATGTGGTATGTACAGCTCTATAACCAGTTTTACAACAGTTTATTATGTGGTATGTACAGCTCTATAACCAGTTTTACAACAATTTATTATGTGGTATGTACAGCTCTATAACCAGTTTTACAACGTTTTATTATGTGGTATGTACAGCTCTATAACCAGTTTTACAACAGTTTATTACGTGGTATGTACAGCTCTATAACCAGTTTTACAACATTTTATTACGTGGTATGTACAGCTCTATAACCAGTTTTACAACAATTTGTTATGTGGTATGTACAGCTCTATAACCAGTTTTACAACATTTTATTATGTGGTATGTACAGCTCTATAACAAGTTATTATGTGGTATGTACAGCTCTATAACACGTTATTATGAGGTATGTACAGCTCTATAACCAGTTTTACAACAATTTGTTATGTGGTATGTACAGCTCTATAACCAGTTTTACAATGTTTTGTTATGTTGTATGTACAGCTCTATAACCAGTTTTACAATGTTTTGTTATGTGGTATGTACAGCTCTATAACCAGTTTTACAACATTTTATTATGTGGTATGTACAGCTCTATAACCAGTTTTACAATGTTTTGTTATGTGGTATGTACAGCTCTATAACCAGTTTTTACAACGTTTTAGTATGTGGTATGTACAGCTCTATAATCAGTTTTACAATGTTTTATTATGTGGTATGTTCAGCTCTATAACCAGTTTTACAACAGTTATGTGGTATGTACGTACAGCTCTATAACCAGTTTTACAACGTTTTATTATGTGGTATGTACAGCTCTATAACCAGTTATTATGTGGTATTTACAGCTCTATAACCAGTTATTATGTGGTATGTACAGCTCTATAACCAGTTTTACAATGTTTTGTTATGTGGTATGTACAGCTCTATAACCAGTTTTTCAACGTTTTATTATGTGGTATGTACAGCTCTATAACCAGTTTTACAACGTTTTGTTATGTGGTATGTACAGCTCTATAACCAGTTTTACAACGTTTTGTTATGTGGTATGTACAGCTCTATAACCCTGTGTTTAGAATTTGACAGAAATCTTAACAAGCAATTAAGTGTTTTATACATATTGGCAAAATGTGGAGTGAACCACTGGTAAAGGTCCCCTTGATGAGACATGGCTTCAGGCTCATATTTAATAAGCTTGTTGATAATATTTTCTTTGCAGTTTTTCCTGGGGATGTCTGTGATGGGTACTCTCTTCCATGGTTACTTTTTTGCATTCCATCTGCTGAACATTGTCAACAACAATCAACTTTTGAGTGGAGTTATTAAAGCTGTTACGCAAAACGGTAAGTCAGGTTTTTTGTTGAACAGAGATTCTGCTTTCTACCTGTTGTAACTAAGTTACACTAACGAATAAGATTCTCTAATCTACCTATGATTTCCAGGTGTATCTCTGCTGTGGGTGGCCATCCTAGGGATGATTGTGATATATATCTACGCCTTGGTGGGGTTCGCCCTACTGCGAGAGTTCTTCACCCCAGGGGACTACCTGTACTGTACAAACCTCTGGCAATGTACCATCACAGTCATGAGATATGGCCTTATAGGGGACATGTTTGAGGTGAGTGCAAGCTTCAAAACTTGCAAATCTAAACTTGATCTAATGAGAGTGTGGACAATAAAAAATTTGTACTTTTCGATGAAAATTGAAGGCATTTCCACTAAATTTGATGTTTACTTTCTCCTTCCATGTATTTAACAGACAATCCACCAGACAGACCTGAGGAACTCATTTGAGTATTTCTGGCCCTTAGTTCTTTACCACGTATCTTTCTTCATCTTCATCACAACCATTGGTCTCAATATCATCTTTGGTATCATTGTCGACACCTTCTCCGAACTCAGGGATCTCAAGGTATAGTGGTGGAGAATTTACACTCTTATTGTATTTAATGACATTTTGATTTGTATGATGATTATTAAAGAAGAATCGACTCTAATTGGAAAATAACTACAAGGGCTTACATTATTTCGTTCGGATATTAAACTTGTCTCTGTGTTTTACATAGCGATGTGACTGATTTTAAATTTAATTTGTTAATTGTAAATTCTGACTATTTGTTGATTGTTTAAATTGTGAGATTTTGTGTTATTTGCAGTGGAGGACAGAGTCCGACATGAAGGACACATGTTTTATCTGTAGTAGAAATAGCTACGACTTTGAACACACGGGAAAGGTAAATCAACAAGATTTGATAAAACGGAAAATTACACATGTATTTAGGCTCTGTAAATAACTAGCTGATCAATACGTCCAGCTACATTTTAGTTATTTACAGAGTTATTGCCCTTTGGTGTCTTCTTCAGCTTCCATCATTTTCCTTTAAATTTTGTAGGGTTCATCACTATCAAATACCCTACTTTGTTTCAACAAAATATCAGGAACATGTGAACATTACTACATTACCTGTACAGTAGATTGTTATAGTCAGGGTCACTGATAATGATATTTCAGTATCCATGTAATGCCTTGGTCCTGTACTAAATGTAGTCAACATGTATCTAAAAAATAAAATAAATTTACAACACATAACTTAACCTTAACTATTGAAAGAAATGAGTACCAAGTAGTGCATGTTAAAAATGTTAGACTTTAGTTTGACGTACTTTCTGCTTACTTTGTAGGGTTTCGACCACCATGTCAGAAATGAACACAACATGTGGGCGTATGTGTTTTTTCTTATTCACCTTGACGATGTGAAGACCAGTGACTACACCGCCATGGAACTGTACGTCAACAAGCTAATGGAAGAGGAAAACTATGACTTCTTCCCAATGAACCGTGCCCTCTGTCTCTCCACCGTCGATGTAGACTCTACGGAGTCGAAGATTGACGAGCTATTACAGCAGGTCACAACTATTGCCAACAAACAGAAACAAGAGGTAATGTTGCGATCGTCACAGCTAGTATTTTACTTAGCCTTCCTCGTGGGGACTTCATTTAAATCTTCTGAATCATGACTACTGCAATATTCAATAAATCAAACTACTTGTGAATTTTATTCTGACTGCTATTTATAAATATAATCATTTGATATTAATTGAGATTTGAAACTTATTTGTCCTTAAATGACCTTAGCTGTTAACAGGACATTTAATCTACTGGTAATGATACTTAAATCAATCAAACGAAACCAAAGACGACTTTATTCCATTGTTCCAAATTGTTTAGCTGAAAGTATGTGATTTCAGCATCATATGTGCTTATTGACTGTGTTTTAGAGTTGCCTACAAAATGAATGTGGACGTATGAAAAAGATAGTAAATTTCTTTCAATACTGAACATTTGTCGTAAATGAATATGAACATCACAATCTCTATATATTAAAGTGTTTCTGTTTTGTCTTCTTTTTAGGAGGCTGACAAGAAGAGGAAGGTGGAGAAACTGAAGCAGAAACGTTGGCAGGAGAAACATCGCCAGTTTATGTTTGGTATATCTACAGAGGACATTCACCGTGAAGGCGACACCGACACCCTGCTGGGGGTCCCCTTGGGTCAGCCTATGCGTCAGCGGTCCCGCCCCTCCAGTATAGTGGAGGCACCCATCACCAATCGACCACCCCCAAGGCAGGGTATATCAGGCTTACAACCCTCAGCAGACCGGCCAGATTTCAGCGATCTTCCACCTCCTCCACCACCAATAATAAAAAAAACGGACAATTTAGAGACAGTGCCAGAGAGTCTGTTTGCCCCAGGGATGTCACTGGGACTGTCAGTGGACGGGCGGAGAAGGGTCCTAGGGGATACATCAGAGGAGGAGGACAGGGGGTCGGACTCGGACTCCATGGACAGTCTGGATGGTGAGTTCACCCTGGCACAGGATGATTCTCCATCCCCTCCGAGCACACCACCTCGTGGCCCTCGTAACCGAGCTCTCTCTGTCCCCATGGTGAGAACTCCATCACAAGCTGATGATGATGATAGTGAAGGGGATGGTACGCGATGCTAATATACTGCTATTGACCTCTGACCAGGTGGATACAGCCTCTTTTGTGAACACCCATTTTCAGATATCAACCTACCAGTCTTTCATGGTTCATTGATATTCTGTATGCCCTAATCTAGATGATTAGTTCAAAACTGATCATCACATTAGTGTTTTCATGGTAGTAACAGCAGAAGTGATGAAGAAAACCTTTATACATGAGGTTGGGTGACTTCTCCTGGACTTTCGAAAAAGGCAGATGCCCATCCAGTGGAGATTATAACCAGCTGTGAAAATATTTCATCACAAGAAGTGGTCAAATTAAGGTGCCATATTTTGCCGATTTTTTACATGGTGAAACCAGTTCTCAGGTAGCTACTGCCATGGTTGTGTTTTGAGTATCTGTCTTCTCCCCTTCTGAATCTCAAAAGTGTTGACACTGTAGCTAGTGTCCCTCCATAGCTAACAGAACAAGGGTTTTATGTAACTGGTGTTCCTCTGTATTTAGCTTTCAACCAGTGTTCCTATTTAGCTATATTTTCTTAGAGATAGCACTAGTGTTCCCCTGTCTAATGTTGCTATCTAACTAGTGTTCCCCTGTGTCTAGTGTTCCCCTATGTCCAGTGTTGCTATGTAACTAGTGTTCCCCTGCATCTAAGTCAATTTGCAACTAATGTTCCTGTTTTAACGATCCTCTGATAGCTAAGATAGGAAGTGTTTCTATGTAGTTTGTAGCTAGTGTACCTATGTATCAAATGCTCCCTTGTAACTAGTTTTCCTCTGTAACTAGCATTTACTTTTTTTGTAGTAAATATACAAAAGGATTAGGTACATGCATTACCTATAAAAGCCTTTTCCAGATCGGAAATTGTAGATACATACATTTATCCCTTTTCAATCATAAGTGTGACCTCTGACTCCTCCCATCATAGGTATGACTTTTGACCCCTCCCATCATACATGTACATGTAGGTGTGACCTCTGACCCTTCCCATCATAGGATCTTCTCCATCACAGATGTGACCTCTGACCCCTTTCATATAAACATTACCTCAGCCTCTCGCTTTCTCATCATCGATGTAAACTTTGACCCCTCTCCCGTGGTAGGTATGACCTCTGACCCATACTCTGTACCAGATTGGTGAGGAGTAACCTTAAGACACAACCAGATCAGTATGCACCACTACATGGAGATGTTAGTACTACCGCTGTACAGTTTTATGTCATGCTAGCCTCAAGTGATCATGGGCTAATTTTCCAATTGCCTTAAAATTGAATCATCAGAATCGTGATGTTCCATATTTCCATTTTAAGAAAAGAATGATTTACTTTTTAATTCATGTTATTTACAGATACCATAATATGTTAATATCCCAATGACTGACATTGGTGGACAAGTTTGTGATGCTAGGATACCGGTATAGGATACCATTGTGTTGATGACGTATGTTCATTGTTATGTAGCTCAGAGTGAACTTGATGTATTGTTATACCAACGTTGATGGAATTGATGTAAACATTAATGTAAATGTTCATATTTTCTTTATCTGTTATCTGCATACTGAAGAAAATATCAAATTTGGGTACGCGGAAGTGTAATGTAGGTTCATAATCATGACGGTTTTGATTTGTGCATGCATTCAAAATTGTGGTACATGTATACTTTTTATCTTGTGAATTCCTGGACAAAACAAGTGTTTAATGCCTGTTTATACACAGCTTTGGTTGACATTACCTTTTCATTAAATATGTTAGTTTGGAAAACCCAAGTAAAAAGGAAACACTTGACAGTAACGTCTACCTGCTGCAGTGAGGTGATTGTTGAGTGGTGAGAGACGATCAGTAGATAGATATCCATGTACTTACGTCCGTCCAGTCATCTGTCCACAGGATTTATTGATGCAATTCATACCGTATGTTGACTTATGTGTTGCCTTAATAAGCAGTCGTAAGTGAAATTTCTTGTAAAATTCTATTATGCAAAAAATCATATTTCATAAATGAATGAGTGAAGATCATTGTTGTCGATACCAATGATTGAAGCTTGTTATCAAAATAATTCACATCAGAAATAAAACATCCAATTTATCAGGAGGCCTAGGATTAAAAGATACTTTGTTGATAATTTTTTGCATTTAAAATCAAAGAATCTCATAATTATGAAGCAATCTCATACAGGGTGTTTTATCTTTCTAGCACAACTAGACCCACAGCAAAGAGAGTTACTCACAGTCTCTAAATAGATAAATAAAGGTATCTAGAACTTCATATAAATCAATCTATACCGTAAATCACTGTATACAGAGCCAATTATTTTAAATATATAAAAAAATATTTATAGAGGACATTATTTAATATATAAACAGAGCAAATCACTTAATATATTTACATGTTATTATATAGATTTATATATGTATATTGTATATCTTCTGTGTGATAATTGGACCAGGGTCAGGAAATGTGCAATATCGTATAGATAATACGATAATTATTGCAGTTTGATAAAATAAAACATTTCAAGATTAATGTGATTCAAACTAAACGTGAAAAATGGAGGTTTTTTGCCGAGTACCTAGCTTGAATATTATAGAGTACTATCATAGTCACTATCTTGGCGTTAGCTTATTTATCATACAGGTAACCTGTTTTCACCTGTAATATATAAGTGAACAACGTCTTGTTCTTAGTTTTAACAAGGGGCAGGCTTATTACTGAAAGTGAGCATATAGCACCAGTAACATATAGTAGTGTGCATGAGAAAAGTTTTTCAATCTAAGAAAGTGAATACGCAGGACCTTTGATTACGGCTTGATGTCTGCGAGTTACAGCTTGATGACTGCGAGTTCTTGTGAAATATCTTTGTAGTTCTGATTTTCGCTAGATTGATATTGGGTACATATAGTTACGTAGATCAAACACACAAGGTACATTTATGTATTGCTAATGCCGTATACATATTGAGTAATTAACTCAACCATTTGTTGCTTTCCACTACGATACATTTTATACCACTGATCTTCATACTGTACATTATAATCCATCGTGACACCTGCATATACACATTATTATCAGTGTACTTAATCCAATATATTTTTATGACCGTGTATATAATCATATGTCTCCCATGGTTAATAAACATGTATCAACTATTAATTGGAGAATAAAGTTTATAACTAATGTTTGTTATTGTTGTGTTCTGTTTATCACATTGAGGTCTTGAAGAAGCTATACCATCCTGTTTTATAAATGCAATGTATCAAATATTTTTTCATCATTCAAACAACTTCATTTCTTAGTGATTTTGATCAAACTTGATATGGTTGTCAAGTTTAACACTCTGAATGTGTTCACATGTACATGAAAATGTTTATCATGTAAAATATTTCAGTTATTTCAAGTACATTCCCATCTTGCATCAGTGTGGGGGACCTTCACCTTTGACCTTACAGTAAAATGTGAAGGTTCCCACGGATACACATTCATGGTGTAAATACTTTTGTAACAGAAGCGGAAAAATGCACGGCCAGACCGGGGTTCGAAACCCGGAACCTTCCGAACTCTAGACGACACTCTACCAATTGAGCTATCTGGTCGCCAACGATCGACCCAGTCCAGTTTCCGCTACATTCCTGCCTCCTGTTTTTTAAGTCTTCACCCATGAAGACACAGCTATTTACAACCCAGGTTCTGGTATCCCCTTGCCAAGCATATACCAAATGCTTGAAACAAGGGTTGGTCACAGGCACAACTAACAGGAGCAGAAAAATGCACAGCCAGACCAGACACTACCACTTGAGCTATCTGGTCGCCGACGATGGACCCAGTCCAGTTCCGCTACACTTAAAACATACATATTTTAGCAGTTCTCATTTAAGTGCTTTTTACACTTGGTATGTTGCACTAAATTATTATTTCCTCAACCAAAGTTCCTGTTTATAGTTTTCTACCTGCATATTTTATCTATGCACTTAAATTTGATACTGTGCTAAATTTTGAGTGCGCTTAAACAAGTATGTTTATGTACTTTCTTGTAGGAGGGATTACATAGATGTAGTCCCGGACGGGATGTAAAATATGTAACATATGAGACAGAACACATTTTATTATAAACCTGTTACATAGAAATTCACAAAAATGTTAACATAGATTATATGGAAAATTAAATCAATACCTTCACATTTAAAATATCAGTTAAAACAATTCAATTTTAAAAACATAAGTTAAAATAATCTGTAAAAATATTCCAAACAGAATGAAATACCACTGTTTATCAGGAAGTGACATTTCTATGAACATTGCATAATAAATAAACATTAAGTTGAACAAACACAAAGGAAACAAATTCAGTATTGCTGTCTGTGCCTCAATGACATGAATTCACAATTTGTTTTTGATGATAACATTAGGATATGGACCTTTACTTGTCCTATATTAACACACAGTACATCTTTCTTACATGTACCTTAACATCCATTCCATACAATTACTCACACTGTAAACAAAGAGGTGTTAAAGGTCACAAGGAGACTCTCACTTGAACACGCTATCACAGTCCTGAAGTACTGGTCCAAGATATTCCTCAGCCTTAGGAATGGTCACTGCTGATGCAGTTATGTCACTTACAAAACAAAATCTCCTTTCCTTACAAAAGCTATGTGAGCTGGGTCCAGGATATTCTCAAGCCTTAGTAATAACTGCAATTAGGCCTTTTTTCTACACAAACCAACAAGAGATTTGGAAGATGACATTCTGCAGTCCAGATTACCAGTGATACTATGGCAGAAAACATCAGTCAAGATAACCAGTAATACAAGACATGAGCCTGGCACACAACAGTCTCTATTTCAGATGACCAGTTATAGTCCAGTCACTGGACCAGGTCAGTCCCCTAGGTCTTCTTGATAGCCTGTGCTGATGTGTAGATCTCCCGCAACTGACGTTTTCTATCATTATGGCAGCCTGTCGAAAAAGTATACTGATTAGTATCACACATTGTATAAATGCTGCAGAGTTTGCACTTATTCTTTTAGAATTCAACTTTGTGTATGCCAGTGGTTTTTAACTTAAAGCTTTGACCATCAAATTTGTAGATCAACTGCCACCCTTTATCCAGAAAAATGTTGGCATTATGAAGGGGTCTGGGGATAGATTGAGGGAAAGGTAGAAAAAGTGACATTGAAATATGTTGGCGGTAAGTGAGGTGACAAATGAACCAAAAGGCATTTTATCAAGGTTTTACTGTGTTTACAGTAAATCAGCAAGGAGTTGGGAGTAAATAAAACCTTAACAAGAAACTGGCTTTAAAATTTACCCAAGAAGGAGTTGGCGGTGGTGACAGAAGAACCATTGGTGGTACACTCCATATTGCCGTCATCAGCGAGTACTGGGCCATCATCCCACAGTAGATCCCAGCCTCCGATCCTCTTCTCCTTACCGGTAAGTCTACAACCAAATATGGGCATAGCAAAGGCATCTAACATGTATGATACTGAGTAGTGTTACAACTGTAGTGTTTCACACTTTCAAATCAATTTGAAATGATTTATTTCTTATGATAGTATTTTCACATATTGCATAAAGAACACATTGATCACTGTTCCATTTTATGTGTTTTATCCTGAAGAATATCAAACATCAGAATCATTAACTATATTATGAACTATTAAAATTAAGAACCGACATAACTCCAAAATAATCTCTTGCTGTGGACATTTTTCTAAAAAAACATTTTACAAGGACTCACCTGTTCTCAAGGTCAAGAACATTCAGAAGGTCGTTCAGCAGACCAAATTTGAGCTCATAATCTTCTTTGCCACTGGCTGTCAATGAGGGGGAGGCATTGATCTCTATCAACCACCTACAGGTCAAAGGTCATGTAAATAAAGACAAACAGTACATCAAGGTAAGAAACAAGAGGCCCAGAGGGCCTGTATCACTCACCTGGATATCTAAGCAATCATGGCAAAATATTCTCCAAATGAGATCCAAGGGAATATGCCAGACCCCAAGGCCAATACTTGTAGCATATCTGTATTTGATTTTTTATGCCCAGCAATTTTATGTATGGTTATGGGGTGGGGATCTCAACTGTTTCCATGCTGTGACTCAGAAACTAGGTCCCTAGGGTTGTGGCCAGACCCCAGGATAAATTCTAATATCAGGACTGCATTTGTCTCTTTTTGCCCAGCATTTGTATATATAGTTTTGGGGTGGGGATCTCAACCGTTTCAAAGTTATGACCAAGGGGTTATGTCTGCAAGGGTGGGGCAGACCCTGGGGTCAATTCTAATATCATGACTGCATTCGTCTCTTTATGCCCAACAATTGTATATATAGTTTTGGGGTGGGGATCTTAACCGTTTCAAAGTTATGACCCAGGGGTTAAGTCTCCAAGGGTGGGGCCAGACCCCAGGGCCATCCTGGAAGCAAATGTGCATTCCTCTCTTTATACTCAGCCATTGTATATATGGTTATATGGTGGGGATCTCAACCATTTCCAAGTAATAAATTTCTTTTGGCCCCCACCCCTTAGCCCGGGGGGTCAGCCCCACAATTTGTACAATTTTGAATCCCTGCCTCCCATAAATGCTTCCGATATGATTAATATCCATGGTATAGTTCTACAGAAGAAGTCGTTTATAGCAATATAGCCAAATTGCCCCCTTTTGGCCCAGCCCTCAGCCCCCTGGGGGGTCAGCCCCACCATTTGTACAATTTTGAATCCCCACCACCTAGGGATGCTTCCAGTCAAATTTAGTTAAATTCCAATCAGTGGTTAAGAAGAAGAAGTCGTTTAAAGAAATTGTTGACGGACGGACGACCGACGGACGCCACAGTATGGCAGAATAGTTCAATGAATTTATTATTAGCTCACCGGGTCCCAAGGACCAAGGTGAGCTAATAATAAATTAATTGAACTATTCTTATTTAAAGAGCTACAAAAAGTTCGAAATACTCCAAACATAACTGATAAGTTATTGTGGGTGGTTCCAGTTGTACATTGATATCTATTGCAAATATTTCATATCTTGATTCATCTGAAATCAAGTGTTATGAAGATGATCACATAATTAGAGTTCACAAGTAGATTCTCTGCAATGGTTTACAATATCAAACTCACGGCTTGAGGTCGTCGTCCAGCAGAATGTCGTAACCGTACATCTCAAAACAGTGTTTATCGTTGATGATGATCTTCTGTACACTTTGTAAACCCTTCGTAATTATATTGTCTATACCTTTGAACACTTTCTTCACCTGAAACAGTTTTACATATTATTAACCCATGTTATACTTTTTGTAAATTTACATCCTTTTTGTGCTTTATTAATTTCCATGTGTCTTTAAGAAAGAGTTTTGCTTTGAGTTCATCAAAATTGATATGTATCAAATTATCTCCGACTTGTTAAACACATAGCAGCTTTTTGACTTTTACTGGTTTCCACATCCTCAATTCAAAATAACACCTACCGCTTCTGCACCGTGTTTGGCAGACAGGTAATGTCGGAGCCTCAATGTGGACCACTTACAGCCCTTCTCTGGGTCGTAGTCCGGGGCGTTCTTTTGTACTGACACATTGGTCAGATGGACATCTGAGTAAAGCTAAGGAAAGTCAGCTGACCAAGGGACAAATTCAAACAAACGTAACTTCATCCAATATTGTAAAGTAATATTCTGCAGCTGAGGAAAGTCAGCTGACCAAGTGACACTTAAATCATCAATTAAAAGTAATACTCTGAAGCTTAGGAAATCCGGTGACAGATTGACCAAAATCACTCGGCAACTTCTCTCAACATTTTATAGTAATACGCTGAAGCTGAGGAAGTCCGGTGACAGATTGACCGAAATCACTAGGCAACTTCTCTCAACATTTTATAGTAATACACTGATGGTTATACAGTGTATTTTGAAGATGCTAACACAGAGCTGACATCACATCAGTTCCAATTCTCTTTGTATTAAAACATTTTGCAAATTCACTAGAAGTGTTAACTCTACCAAAAATCTAGTAACAACACTATAACACAGCAGAAACAACAGGACTGCAAGGATACATGCGTCCTCAATGGAGTCGAGGGAGAACCTTGTGTTGGAGAATCTGGCGAAGCCATCCCTGTATAACCATACCTTCAGGGGGTTGTACTGTAACACAATAAACACATGACATTGATAAACATAGGAAAAGTGAAACTAAACTAAAAGTCTTTATAAAACATTGTCAATCCTTTTACTTGATATAAACTAAAGGACAGTGATGTTCAAAATTTCAAAGTTATCACTAAGTGAATATACATATACATTATTCAATACATAACTATCAATGGTGTTATAGGTACTTACAGAGACTACCAGGACGTAGATCCTGATGTCAAACTTGCGACCCCCTATAAGGTACGGGTTTTCTATGTAGCGCTGTACCACGTACGTCTCCGGCACTTCCCTCGTCGTATCAGTGAGAGGCTGGTACTCTCCCTAGTGGCAACAAATGGAAAACAAACTTCAATTTTTACATACTGTTTTTTAACTTTAAATGAAATAGTAGTATTAGGACAACAACATTTAAGTATTGTACAAATATATATCAAATCAAGGGCTAACAAGACACTTGAGAGTAGGTTTTTGACTTCCAAAAGGAGTTTTTATATATCTAATTGACAGGGTTTTTGACCCTACAAATTTCAGGGGTGGGGTGGGGGCGGAATTGACTTCTTAAATTGTTTATTGTCAAAGATTGAAAGACAGCCCTGGAATCTAAATAATAATAATAATAATAATAAACTTTATTTATTGAGGATACAAAACCTGTTTAGCAAAGCTAATCTTCCACAGGGTCCTCTGTTAGTAAAATTGGTTAGTTAAAAGACAAAGTAGTATCACAGCAAATAAATGTACATAAAATAGTTGTTGGTCTACTAAAACAGCAATTCATATCACAGTTATTTCATAATTTAAACGGTCGTTCAATACAATTACAATAAAATTATCACAGAAGCACGAAATATATTCCGTGCTTAACCCATTATGGTTTTCATTAAAAGACAAATTGTCTAATTTACATATATGCTAATGTAGCAAAAGCTAAAAATTGACAGAATACACGCTAATATAGCGAAAATAAAACAAATCAAAGCTGTATCTAAAAAGTATAATAGTAAAAATAAAAGACAATTAAACCGCATTCTTAATGTTACCAATCATATTTTGTTTGAGTTTTGTCAAGGAGGAAGAGAGTCTTACTTCAACCGGTAAATTATTCCAAATCTGGCTCCCTTGTACCAAAAAGTGTTTGGAATAAAATGTGGTACGGTGTTTGGGTACCTTGACAGAGTTTTGGGATGCTGATCTAGTATATCTGTTGTTAGACAAATTAAATTGATTAGAAAGATATCCTGGAACTAGATTATTTATACATTTGTACACCATAACACCTCTTTTGAATTTCAAATATTCGCCAATTGGTAACCACCCTAATGAAGAAAACATTTCTACTGATGGTGTATCAAATGGAGCATCCAACAGTAATCTTGCAGCTTGTTTCTGTGCTTTTGACAGTTTTTGTAGAAGATTTAAAGAGCATCCGCTCCATACTGTGCTACTGTACATGAAGTGGGGAAAAATACATGCATGAAAAAATTTAAGTCTAGCTGAAAGTGGTAAATATTGACGGATGCGTCGAAGTAAACCCAAACCACTGTTAATCTTTGAAACAACAGATGCTATGTGATCTAACCAAGATAAAATGTTGTCAATTTTTACACCAAGAAGATTTTCACTCTTTACTTGTTCAATACATTCCTGATCTGATATTAGGCTTAGAGCATCATCTAAATGTGCTCACATAAGTAAAAAGAAAAACAAGCAAACAAGATAAATGAAATATTGGAATTCATCAGAAAATTTAGTCCTTACCTTTTTCCAGTCTGTGATGTCCTTGAGACGCCTGAACAGAAATATACCCTTCCCCTGAGACTTGGCTGCAGGCTTCATGATCCAGGTTATACCAGGATTCCTTTTGAACTCTTCCACAAATATGTGGTACTCAGACTGAAATCAATATACAGTTAGCCTTATTCTGTGATTTCTGGGATTTAGACTGACAGGGTTCCACTCAATCTAATTTCATGTTTGATCTTAAACCCTGTCTACATTGGTAACCTCTATAATGGTTCCCTAAGCTCAACATTCACACCACACAGCCTATACTTACTGGCAGTTCATAGGTTGTCGGATGGAAATCAAAACTGTAAAGAAATCAAGGGGAAAAAATCATAAAATCATGACAAAACATATTACAATAAAGCCTGACATCTTGTTTCATTATCAATTTTATCTTGTATTGTAAAAAAAATTGAATTACGTTGTTGACAGGTTTAGATCCAGTAAAAAGGACGGGTGACATTTAAAAAATACAATTGAAAGATAACTAGACCAATAAAAGCAGAGCATTGATACTAAACCCAGTAGTAGGATACTATTCTAGGTCTTATAATTTAACATGATCCCATGATACACTGTCTTGATGTCCACCTCACTAAACTATTGTAAACTAAAAGAGGCCCCATTGTAACCTTAAGAGTGGACTAAAATAAAGCTACCGGCAAAATATCAGTGTCTTTGACTTGAGTCATTCAAAAAAACCTGTTAAATGATTAAAACACATTTGACCCCTGTGACCTTGAAAGTCAAACATGGACATTAAATTGAACATTGTGACCTTGAAAGTCAAACATGGACATTAAATTTAACAAACTCTATAGCCTTCCTCACAGAATGCAACTTGTCAAACATCACTCTAATGGTCCTTTATCCTTTGTTTATTGAGGTGGCTTTTAAAGATTTATGCACTGTGGACCAGATGGGACCTTGAAAGTATGTCAAGGTCATTCACATGAACAACCAATCACCCTGGAACCTTAAGTTATTCAGAAGTTGTTTTTAAGTGTTTTTAAGACAAATAACCCCTATGACCTTGAATATGGGCAAAGGTCATTCATTTTAACAAATTTGGTAATGAATCATCACAGCATGTTATTGGCCAAATATCAACACCCTAGGCTTCTTGGTTATTTTAAAGAAGTTGTTTAAATGTTTAAACATATTTGACTAACCCCCCCCCCCCCTGTGACCTTGAATATGCAAAGGTCATTCATTTGAACAAACTTTGTAGCCTTCATCCCAGCATACTACTGGCCAAATATCACTCTGGGCATTTTGGTTATTCAGAAGAAGTTGTTTAAAGATTTTAACATATTTGACCCCTGTGACCTTGTATATGAGTGAAGGTCATTCATTTGAACAAACTTTGTAACCCTTTATCCCAGCATGCTACTATCTAAATATCATCAGCCTGGGCCTCTCAGTTATTAAGAGGAAGTTGTTTCACAGTTTAAACATATTTGATCCCTGTGACCTTGAAAATGGGCAAAGGTCATTCATTTGAACAAACCTTGTAGCTCTTCATCCTAACATGCTACTGGCCAAATATTATCAGCCTGGGTCTCTCATCTGGGTCAGGCTTCATCCTAGAAACCTATCAGCCAAATATCACACTTCTGGGCCTTTTGGTTAATCAGAAGAAGTCATTTAAAGGTTTTAACAAATTTGACCCATATGACCTTGAATAATGGTCAAGGTCATTTTTTTTTGCAAACTTTGTTGGGCTTCATCCCAGCAACCAACCAGCCAAATACCATGACATTTGGCCTGTTGGTTATTGAGAAGAACTCGTTTAATTAGAAAAGTTGACCCCGGATAGACGGACGATGGACACTGCGCCACGGCATAAGCTCACATGGCCCTTCGGGCCAGGTGATCTAATTCCATACTTAGATTACAACACCACACAATTATTGTATAGTCCACAATAGTCTCTATTATATACTTGCCTTAATCCCTCAGACTTCCCTGTATAGCCCACAGTAGTCTCTATACTTACCTCAATTCCTCAGACTTCCCTGTATAGCCCACAGTAGTCTCTATACTTACCTCAATTCCTCAGACTTCCCTGTATAGCCCACAATAATCTCTATACTAACCTCAATCCCTCAGACTTCCCTGTATAGCCCAAAATAATCTCTATACTTACCTCAATTCCTCAGACTTCCCTGTATAGCCCACAGTAGTCTATACTTACCTCAATCCCTCAGATTTTCCTGTATAGCCCACAGTAGTCTATACTAACCTCAATCCCTCAGACTCCCCTGTATATCCCCCAGTAGTCTCTATACTAACCTCAATCCCTCAGACTTTCCTGTATAGCCCACAGTAGTCTATACTTACCTCAGTCCCTCAGATTTCCCTGTATAGCCCACAGTAGTCTATACTAACCTCAATCCCTCAGACTCCCCTGTATATCCCACAGTAGTCTCTATACTAACCTCAATCCCTCAGACTTTCCTGTATAGCCCACAGTAGTCTATACTTACCTCAATCCCTCAGACTTCCCTGTATAGCCCACAGTAGTCTATACTTACCTCAATCCCTCAGACTTCCCTGTATAGCCCACAGTAGTCTATACTTACCTCAATCCCTCAGACTTCCCTGTATAGCCCACAGTAGTCTATACTTACCTCAATCCCTCAGACTTCCCTGTATAGCCCACAGTAGTCTATACTTACCTCAATCCCTCAGACTTCCCTGTATAGCCCACAGTAGTCTATACTTACCTCAATCCCTCAGACTTCCCTGTATAGCCCACAGTAGTCTATACTTACCTCAATCCCTCAGACTTCCCTGTATAGCCCACAGTAGTCTATACTTACCTCAATCCCTCAGACTTCCCTGTATAGCCCACAGTAGTCTATACTTACCTCAATCCCTCAGACTTCCCTGTATAGCCCACAGTAGTCTATACTTACCTCAATCCCTCAGACTTCCCTGTATAGCCCACAGTAGTCTATACTTACCTCAATCCCTCAGACTTCCCTGTATAGCCCACAGTAGTCTATACTTACCTCAATCCCTCAGACTTCCCTGTATAGCCCACAGTAGTCTATACTTACCTCAATCCCTCAGACTTCCCTGTATAGCCCACAGTAGTCTATACTTACCTCAATCCCTCAGACTTCCCTGTATAGCCCACAGTAGTCTATACTTACCTCAATCCCTCAGACTTCCCTGTATAGCCCACAGTAGTCTATACTTACCTCAATCCCTCAGACTTCCCTGTATAGCCCACAGTAGTCTATACTTACCTCAATCCCTCAGACTTCCCTGTATAGCCCACAGTAGTCTATACTTACCTCAATCCCTCAGACTTCCCTGTATAGCCCACAGTAGTCTATACTTACCTCAATCCCTCAGACTTCCCTGTATAGCCCACAGTAGTCTATACTTACCTCAATCCCTCAGACTTCCCTGTATAGCCCACAGTAGTCTATACTTACCTCAATCCCTCAGACTTCCCTGTATAGCCCACAGTAGTCTATACTTACCTCAATCCCTCAGACTTCCCTGTATAGCCCACAGTAGTCTATACTTACCTCAATCCCTCAGACTTCCCTGTATAGCCCACAGTAGTCTATACTTACCTCAATCCCTCAGACTTCCCTGTATAGCCCACAGTAGTCTATACTTACCTCAATCCCTCAGACCTCCCTGTATAGCCCACAGTAGTCTCTATACTAACCTTAATCCCTCAGTCTTCCCTGTATAGCCCACAATAGTCTCTATACTAACCTTAATCCCTCAGACTTCCCTGTATAGCCCACAGTAGTCTATACCTACCTCAATCCCTCAGTCTTCCCTGTATAGCCCACAGTAGTCTATACTTACCTCAATCCCTCAGACTTCCCTGTATAGCCCACAGTAGTCTATACTTACCTCAATCCTTCAGACTTCCCTGTATAGCCCACAGTAGTCTCTATACTTACCTCAATCCCTCAGACATCCCTGTATAGTCCACAGTAGTCTATACTTACCTCAATCCCTCAGACTTCCCTGTAAGCCCACAGTAGTCTATACTTACCTCAATCCTTCAGTCTTCCCTGTATAGCCCACAGTAGTCTATACTTACCTCAATCCCTCAGACATCCCTGTATAGTCCACAGTAGTCTATACTTACCTCAATCCCTCAGACTTCCCTGTATAGCCCACAGAAGTCTCTATACTTACCTCAATCCCTCAGACATCCCTGTATAGCCCACAGTAGTCTATACTTACCTCAATCCCTCATACTTCCCTGTATAGCCCACAGTAGTCTCTATACTAACCTCAACCCCTCAGACTTCCCTGTATAGCCCACAATAGTCTCTATATTAACCTCAACCCCTCAGACTTCCCTGTATAGCTCACAGTAGTCTATACTTACCTCAATCCCTCAGTCTTCCCTGTATAGCCCACAGTAGTCTATACTTACCTCAATCCCTCAGACATCCCTTTATAGCCCACAGTAGTCTATACTTACCTCAATCCCTCAGTCTTCCCTGTATAGCCCACAGTAGTCTATACTTACCTCAATCTCTCAGACTTCCCTGTATAGCCCACAATAGTCTCTATACTAACCTCAATTCCTCAGACTTCCCTGTATAGCCCACAATAATCTATACTTACCTCAATTCCTCAGACTTCCCTGTATAGCCCACAGTAGTCTATACTTACCTCAATCCCTCAGACATCCCTTTATAGCCCACAGTAGTCTATACTTACCTCAATTCCTCAGACTTCCCTGTATAGCCCACAGTAGTCTATACTTACCTCAATCCCTCAGACTTCCCTGTATAGCCAACAGTAGTCTATACTAACCTCAATTCCTCAGACTTCCCTGTATAGCACACAGTAGTCTTTACTTACCTCAATCCCTCAGACTTCCCTGTATAGCCCACAATAGTCTCTATACTTACCTCAATTCCTCAGACTTCCCTGTCTAGCCCACAATAATCTCTATACTTACCTCAATCCCTCAGACTTCCCTGTATAGCCCACAGTAGTCTATACTTGCCTCAATCCCTCAGACTTCCCTGGATAGCCCACAATAGTCTCTATACTTACTTCAATTCCTAAGACTTCTCTGTATAGCCCACAGTAGTCTTTACTTCCCTCAATCCCTCAGACTTCCCTGGATAGCCCACAATAGTCTCTATCCTTACCTCAATTCCTAAGACTTCCCTGTATAGCCCACAGTAGTCTATACTTACCTCAATCCCTCAGCCTTCCCCTGTTCTCGTTCTGTCTGTTTCTTCAGTCGTTTCAGGTTTTTCACCATAAGATTTTTTCTGGTCAACTGTAAGAAAACATCTATTGAAACACTTTGTCTTAAGCAGATTAAAGCTTCGCGATATATTTTTTTGTTTTAGATAATATCACATTCATTTTTTTTTTTTATTAATTTCAGTTCCGATGAAGGACTTAATTAACTGAAAGTGTTTAGTCATTTTAAAAAGAAGAGCACTGCACATGGATACATAACATGCCTGTCCATACACAAGGGGCAATAACTCTGGAATGCATTGATGTCAAAGTTAAAACACAAATTCATTTGAGATCTTTGTTAACCAAATACTTGAATACATGAAATTTCATCCAAAAAAAGAAAAATTAAGCTATATATAGAGTGATGACAGAAATTTTCTATCTATAAAAAGTTATCTTGACTTTGGATCCATGACCCCGTGACACACATTACACACTTGAGGAATTTGTAACATATACTAAATCTTTCTGTAAAGTGAGCTATGATGCCAAAGTGACAGACAAAGTGACCTAGATAACACCTTATGTCCCCTACTAGTTCATGGTGAGGTATGAAATGTGCTTCATCAATATAACTTTTATTCTAAATAACATGAAATTCATTCATGTGTACATCAAGGGCTGGATAAAATCAAACATTACCTACCTCATAATGGTTGCGGAAGTGCAGGATTTTCTGGTGTTCATGGAGGAACATGGTGTCATAATTCTGATGTAGCCACTCTCGGTCACACCAATAAAAGTCCCAATCACCATCACTGTCAACACCACAAAACCTTAAGTATTATAACCACTGTCAACACCTGATATAAAGTAGTATACCAAGGGGAGACAACTACTGTCAACACCTGATGTATTGTATTACACAAACGTTCTTAAATGACCTTAGCTGTTAATAGGACGTTAAACAAAATTAAACAAAACTAAAGTATTACACAAAGGGGAGACAACTACTGTCAACACCTGATATATAGTAGTATACAAAGGGGAGACAACCACTGTCAACACCTGATATATAGAAGTATACCAAGGGGCAACAACAACTGTCAACACCTGATATATAGAAGTATACCAAGGGGTAACAACCACTGTCAACACCTGATATATAGTAGTATACCAAGGGGAAACAGCCACTGTCAATACCTGATATATAGTAGTATACCAAGGGGAGACAACTACTGTCAACACTTGATATATAGAAGTATACCAAGGGGAAACAGCCACTGTCAACACCTGATATATAGTAGTATACCAAGGGGCGACAACCACTGTCAACACCTGATATATAGTAGTATACCGAGGGGCGACAACCACTGTCAACACCTAATATACAGTGTTATACCAAGGGGAAACAACCACTGTCAACACCTTATATACAGTATTATACCAAGGGGAAACAACCACTGTCAACCCCTTATATACAGTATTATACCAAGGGGAAACAACAACTGTCACCACCTGATATATAGAAGTATACTAAGGGGAGACAACTACTGTCAACACTTGATATATAGAAGTATACCAAGGGGTAACAACCACTGTCAACCCCTGATATATAGTAGTATACCAAGGGGAAACAGCCACTGTCAATACCTGATATATAGTAATATACCAAGGGGAGACAACTACTGTCAACACTTGATATATAGAAGTATACCAAGGGGAAACAACCACTGTCAACACCTGATATATAGTTGTATACCAAGGGGAAACAACAACTGTCAACACCTGATATATAGAAGTATACCAAGGGGCGACAACCACTGTCAACACCTGATATATAGTATTATACAAAGGACAGTCAAGAACTCTCAACACCTGATACATAGTTTTACACAAAGGGGAGACAATTACTCTCAACACTTGATATATAGTTTTACACAAGGGGAGACAACTACTATCAAAACCTGATATATAGAATCGCACAAAGGGGAGACAACTACTCTCAACATCTCATATATAGTATTATAAAAAGGGGAGACAACTACTCTCAACACCAGATATATAGTTTTACACAAAGGGGAGACAATTACTCTCAACACCCGATACATAGTTTTACACAAAAGGGAGACAACTACTCTCAACATCTCATATATAATATTATAAAAAGGGGAGACAACTACTCTCAACACCAGATATATAGCATTATACAAAGGGGAGATAACCACTATCAACACCTGATATAAAGTATGGTGTATTATGCAAAGGGGAGACAACCAGTATCTTTTACAATTTGAAAATTATCCAATAATGTTGATAATCACCCATCATGAGTTTGGGGATCTTTTTCTCCCACAAAGTTCAGATATTATAACTATATGTTTCTCTGTGGAATACATTATTCCTGTGTTTCTCTGTGGAATACATTATTCCTGTGTTTCTCTGTGGAATACATTATTCCTGTTTTCAAACAGGGAAACAATTGCCATGAACTATGACGTCACAACGGAAGATGACACCCCAAAGCAATATTACTTGACCTCATAGTTAGAAGATTGACCAATGAAATAGCACACAGGGTGTTACCACCTAGTGGGTAATCAAACAGGTTTACCAACTACTAGCAGGTTTATCTAATGAGTTAGGAGTGATGAAACCTATAGTGGTTGTCGGAGAAACTGTATTATTGTACCAAATGAGATATACACAAAGACAGCTAGACAACTAAATGTTTTAATCACAATCACTGGCTACAGTAAGACCACTCCCCTTAAATGATTGATCTTGTCTCATTTGCATATTATCTATGAAGTAGACATAAAACTCTATAATATTTAGAAAAGAAAGTGGTAAAAATAGACATTTTTTTTAATTACAGACACGAAATAACCAACAGCTGAAATGAACAAATGATTAAATATGAGAATTTGAATTTTAAATCTGATCTTGTACATGCAGGCTCATTCTAGGTTATATTCAACAATCCAATATATGTAGCACACCTTTAACTATCACTGAATTAAATCTTTGTAACAGTAGCGTATCAAAATCTCACTCAGATTCTTCTTTATTTAGCAACACTTATCATCCATCATTAAAAAGTACCTGATAAAGATTTATGGCATTAAAAAATTGTCATGTTCATATCATGATCTGTTCTGATTACATCAGAATAATAACATGTGATTCAGTAATTTACATCAGTGATTCAGTAATTACACATCTGACACAGGCCAATCCATTAAGTCTAGCTGTAAGGCTTTCACCAACACATGTCAGAACACACTTATTGATCGTATACCTGTAGGCCATCAAACATCTTGCTAATTAATAAACACTGGCAAAAATCATACAGATCATTTGGAAAAAAAACATCAAACATACACAAAATCTGAGGAGTTATAATCAAAATTCCAAGCTGTCTGGAAAAAAATCAATAACAAATGCACAAAGATGAAGTACAATTGGAATACTTACACTTCATTGTAGAGTTATTGGCCCTGAAAGCCTACAGTTAATGGCATCAACAGTATCATAAATGTCAACAGAGTATCCAAATGATAATGGAATTAAAATGGAATCACAACGTGTGACCGTCAATCCTGGAATCTTAGTGGACCAGTTACAACCAGAGGAGGAGGTAAGTAATACTGTCACCTGTTATCAGCTTTTATGATGGACACAGATTTCTGCAGATTTTCTACAGTAGGAATGTAGTAGTGATGTGGGCAGGATAATGCTGGTTTTAGCACTTAACTATCAACAGATACTTGTGTATAACAATTAAGACACCTACACATGTTACTAACATATATGACATAAATACACAAGATGCCTCTTTAATTAGATGCTACAAAGTGTACGCTGTGATTACATTCAATGTCCATGTATGAAGTTCTTTGGGACAGGACAACACATTTCATCTATTACACATGTACATGTATATATATATAGTTATTCTCCACAATGATAAAGAGGTATGCATTTTGCAGCCAACAATATAGAATTCTATTTCTAGAGGGCTTGGTTTGAAAATAATTTTTATACACAACTAGTCATTAAATTAGATTTTGCAGGATTTAATTTGGTAATTTGATATACCAATGTATTAACATGATTTGCAAAAATATTAACACCTAAAAATATTAACTGTAATTAACACGCCTGTTACATTGATATAATGTATATTGATATATTTTTGTGGTTGTTGCAATTAAAATTCTGCCAAATGATACATTAGGCTGTAAACCTCAGGTGGGTATAAGACCAACAACATGAAATGTCATCTGCCCAAGGAATAATGGCTTTAGAAGACGGGTTAGTATCATGTGAAGTAGTAGACCCACACAGTGACAGTATTACAGTTAGTACGGTGCCCGTCACCCTTTCTTAACATGCGTTCTATGTACAGGTGTTGGAGAAAACTTTGTGTGACACAAATTGATAGACAGTTTTAAAATCTGGACGAGAAGAAACATCTTCCTGGTTCCAAAAGGCAGACATCATATGATTTTGGATTCTTAAGATGTGCAGTCCACTACAGCATGCCTACCATATCAACTACTATGTGGTTATAATTTCATAACGGTTTGTTATTTTTTGGCTTCCTGATACATATGGATCTGATCAACCAACTGCAAACCATAAATGAAATATCTGTATTTTCTCTATAGTCTAGGTTCCAATTGGCACTGCTATGATGTACACTAGACACCCTGGTGATACAAACAACTGTTTTCCAGTTAATTATGTTTCTCCTTGTGTCTATTTATCTGATTCAAAAGAAATTCAATTCAAACGCAGAATACCACCCATAATGTCCAAAGATGATGGACAATTTTTTGTAGTCTTTAATATTTCTGTTTGTTTGTTATTTAGCTAAAAGTATGCCAAACAGACTTGTGTAAAAAGTAATACAACAGTTACGTAGTAGCTAAATGATTATTTGTCAAGTATTTCTGTGTAATTTTGTATTTGTTGTAAATTTGTGTCTTGAAAATATGACAAATTGTATTGCCTGCCCTGTTCCTGCTGTTTTTCTGCTTATGTATCAATTTATTTTATGATTCACACAGTCATTATTACTCATAATATCTACCGGTGTATGAACAAATATGTGTATCCTTTTTCTAATTACCATAAATACATGATATCTAGCTTGTTTTACCTGTGATCTATGTTAGAGTTATCTCCCTTTCTTCATTTATGTTATCATTTAATCAACCAAATCCAAACTAACAAGCATATAAGACTTACAAGTGTCTTATTAAAAATCGTCTTTAATAGGAGACACATCACCACAGTACTGCAAGCCTTATATCTTAAATACTAAATATCACAGGGTCACGCACAGGGTCACGCACATCTTCAGCACATGCAGGCTTGCCAGAATCAGTGACACTATTTTCAGAATGCCTTAGTGTCAAAGGGATCCTTCAGAATCAATGGCACTTTAATTTAGGTCTGCCAGGGTTAGGATCCACCAGTATTAATTGATCTACATGTATATACATTGCAAGTGATGAAGAAGTATGTACATTGCAAGTGATGAAGTAAATTTAAAGTGTCCATAAAGGGAACTTAAATTGCTGAAATGTTTCTTGTTGTCATTCTGTAGGTCTACAATTCTAAAACCAATCTGACATAAGCAGAAATATATACAAGCTGATTCAAGTACACTGGCCAGCTAAGTCTGGTTGTGGAGAGTAGTATTAAGTGATTTATAGCATAGTATATGTAGTCGGATTACTATATCACAGTGGTCACTGCATAGTGTACATGCTCATCCGCTCACCATTTATTATCTCTATTAAATATTGAGATACGTATACATGCAATATACATAAAGCAGGTTACTTATGCATACATAGGTATCAAATATAATGAATTCCTCCTGGAAATGGTTAATACAAGCTGAAGATTATATTTGCTAGGCTCTTTGTAATAAAGAAAATTATATTTGACTTGATGAACAGAGAGTGATTGTTGACTGAATATAGCCACAGTGACAGTGTTGATAACTGTAGTTTGAGTTAACATGTACAAGGTTGTGTACTTGTTTATGATGAAACCTGCATATATATTTTGTAGTATATCAAGTATGAGTGCACCTTGCTTCATATCACATGTGAGTGTATTTTGGTGATAGGTATACAGCACCATTTACTACCTGTGTTCAACTATGGTAGCTACCATTTTACATAGCAGGGTCCAACTTTAAACAGCTATATATTTGTATGTAGTTAAACTTTTTAAAGTTACATATGGTAGATCCACCATTATAAAACTAAACTAAACTAACTTATAGTTACAACTTTGTTTAGCTTCATGGTAAATTTGAATTCATAGCTTATTGGTAGCTACAGCTTTAGAGAGCTGTGTGATAGCTACACATTTATACAGCTACATGGTGGTTACACCTTTACACATCTAGGTGGTAGTGGTTAAAATTTCATACAGCTATGTGCTTATGGGAGCTGTATACATATATGTAGGTACAATGTAGGTCCCAGGTCCCACACGTTTATAAAGCTATGAGGAAGATTAAGTTTTATACAGCTACCATGTTATTATTTCACCTTTATATAGCTAGATGGTACATATGATGTAGCTGTATTTTTATACAGGAATAGCACTACAGTGCTAATGTTTTATTGTTTTAAACATGCGATGTAAATAAGAATCCTTGTATCTTGTATCTTGTATACAGCTATGTGATAGCTACATCTTTATATAGGAAAAACACTAAAACAGCTTTTCACAACAAAACAGTTCCCTTAATTTAGCTTACAAACTGCCACTTGATAAATTCCTTGCCATTATAAACCACACAACTATACATTCAACTTGGCTTGTGATGTTGTGTCAAACACTAGCAGCATACCATTTTATCATACAACCGTATTTTTGTTTGTAGGAAAACTAGAACAAGACACACAGCCAATAGCTTTACAACATATACAATTCATACAGGAATCTTCAGGCTCAAACCAAACAGTAAGTGGTCTACTGATTAACCTTTAGGGCCGAGCACAGAACGTGACCCCCAAAAAGATGCCCACACAATACGGAATATACTGTTACACAACGTCAAGGTTAAACATTTGCACAAAGTGAATATCAAGTATTGGTTACAAGGTGAATGTCATAATTTGTTCAAAGCGAAGTTCAGATGCTTGTTACAAGGTGATCAAAGGTCAAATGTTTGCTCAAGGTGAAGGTCAGATGCTTGTTACAGAGTGAAGATCATATAACTGTTGAAGGTGAAGGTCAGACGCATAACAATGTCTGATGCAACAGAAAACCTTACCTGTTTCTCTGAATGGGGGGTACAGGTTGATAGCTGGAAAGAATTAGGTTGTCAAATATACATTGTAAGTGCATGGCTATTATGTAGGTCTAGGTAATCCCTTGGCTTAGCTCATGATGTGTATCAAATCACAATTATATTAAACCCAATACATGTGATACAAATACTTGTACAAATAAACCTGTAAAACAGAAAAAATATAGCAAAGTAGCACTGCTGAAAAAGCAAATGAGCTTGTTCTAACAACAGCTATGGTGGTGAACACAATCCAAAGTATGGATGGGAGATTATACCTTAATGCTGCCCACTTTCATAATTGTTTTTTTATTAGCTCTCCTGTTAGAAAATCAGAAAAGCTACAATCCTTCAGAAAATCATGGACTTTTTAGATATTCCATTAACCTGAAGCTGTGTTCTGTGATTTGTGAAGCAAGATGTCAGGGGTCAAACTGACAAATGGAAACATGATGGTAAATCTGAAAGAGAGGTTTTAAACTTAAAACGCAACATGTTTATTTGCACTAAAGTGATTGAACGGGAAATAAATATCCAGGCCAGGCTAAATGATAAACACAACAGTCATCACTACTATACATGTAAATAATGTACATACAGCTAGTCTTTTAGGGGAACAGTTCTGATTTTTGTTTTTTCAAAAGTCAATTTTACCTGAGAACAAAAGAGGCTCGACTGATAAGGGTTGATAGAACATAACATTTATATATATTTTACAATTACAAAATACCACTATAACTATCAACAGATACTTGTGAATAACAATTAACACACCTTCACATGTTACTAACATATATGACATAAATACATAAGATGCCTCTTTAATTAGATGCTACAATGTGTACGCTGTGATTACATTTAAGGTCCATGTATGGAACATCAAATCAAATAATGACAATTATTTAATAGAAGATGATAATATATTATTTGAAATTCAAATCTATCATCAAACTCATGTTAATATATTGATACCATACTTGCGAACTTTTTGAAACTTCCATGGGGATATTCTACATGCTTGATATCAAAACATAAGTATAATGGGTGTATACACCCCCTAGAGACAAAATATCCCTTTAAAATTACATATTTTGAGTTGTTCTTTCAGATGAAATCATTAGATCTTAGAAAATAGAAGCAGTTTAGCAAATTCACTTGTTGAAAACACTAAGTTTAAGGGTCCAAAATCGGGAGTCTCCCTCCTAGATAGGAAGGGTTGGCAAATATGTGATACAGTCAAACCTGTGACCATCTGTATTAAGAGACCACCTGTATTTAGAGACCACCTGTATTAAGAGACCACCTGTATTAGAGACCACCTGTATTAAGAGACCACCTGTATAAGAGACCACCTGTATTAGAGACCACCTGTATTAAGAGACAACCTGTATTAGAGACCACCTGTATTAAGAGACCACCTGTATAAGAGACCACCTGCATTAGAGACCACCTGTATTAAGAGACAACCTGTATTAAGAGACCACCTGTGTAAAAAGATCCCTTTATGGATTTATTGTGGTTGGTCTCCTAATGCAGGTTTGATCTATTACATGTAATGTTTACATATATGCTGATTAAATAAATGGAACATAAAGAAGAAATAGGGTCATGACAAGGGGTGACACCTAGTTACTTAGTGGTCTGGACAGCCAGGTGAGCTGAAAAAATCACAACAGTGGCGAAAACACTCAAGACAAATTGAACTGTGCATACTTTATGAAAAATTTGAAGATTTACCTTACTTACTATAAAACCTTGTTCATGCAGAAACACATCATATCAATCTGTCTTTCACCTCATTCTAGTTGAACAAGACTATTTAAAAACAGATGTATTAGATAAACACGGCTTGAAAGTTGTTAAGACACATAAATAGAATATGGTAAAAAAAAATAAAAATTGTAAACTTTATTTATCTGACCATTTGGGTAATCATATTGTGTCCAGACCACCTGAGGCTCCACCACATTGTCAAAGACCGGTGATGTAAACGGGTGCATTGTCGTGAAATAAAGCTTCATGCTTAAGTATGAATAAGCAGCAACAGTTTGCTTACTCCTAGTAACTTGATCCAGTAACTTAGTTTATATTTATAACTGTGATTATGTAATGATCTCGAGTTATGTGCTTCATATAGAAAGTTAAATAAGAAGTTGGAGACATGAAATAATTAGTATTTTAAGTAGTGTTAAATTGTGTTCACTGTGTGTTCTTGAGCACCGCACACAACCAATGTGTATGCTTGTTATTGTTGTAACAAGATCATGTTTTAAACATGACATATAAACCAAACTAAAGTCATCTTTGAACTGTGATTTTGAAGTTTTAAACTGGAATATTAATCATATAAGCTACATCTAAATTTTAAATAGTAGCAATATTTCACAAAATATAAAGAAAATGTGATTTTCCTTGGATACAAACTTTCACTTGCCTATGTGGTAATTCTCTAGCTGGACACATAGACACTTTTCTAAGAACAACTGATTTCCTTTGAATGATTTCAGTGACATTTTACACCCCTGAAGGTCTGGGATCAGGAAGAGAATAAACCTGCTGTTACCCACTGCATGATCATAAAAGGCGACTAATTTGGGAACCCCTTGCAGAATTAGGAATATATTTTTGTGCCATCTACATGGCGACCAAAATAAATCAGTTGCACTCATTGCAATAATTGGATCATCTTTATATTTCTGTTTACTTCTAACTACCTTTTGTTTCATAGCGCCTTGCTTGGCTACACCTCACTTTTGGCTTTAATGTTGAACGTTCACCCAGGTGAGGAAGGCAATGGCCAGACAAACCAACGTCCTTAAAAATGGAAGTTGTTATTGTCTGCTAAAAGTTCAGCAATTAGGAGAATGGCAACAAGTGGTTCCCCCATTGTCTGTATAATGTGACCAGGCAGAATGCTGTGCTGGGTGCCTTTGGCATGGTGTTTTAGTGAGGTAGCACCATAAAGTCGGCATCAGATCCTTGCTATCACAAGGAGGAAGTTACACCAACATACCCTGCCTCCAGCACACATACACACATACACACATACACTACACATATGGGGGCACGTCCTTAAATGACCTGAGCTGCTAATAGGATGAAACCCTGTAAAATTAAACCCAACTATGACTTTAAAATATTATACATGAACTTTTCTTTTCTTTTGAATCAAATCAGAACAATCTAATGCTACCTGGCAACAGATTGATACATATACCCCTGCAGAAAAATGGGAACATTAAGATCATAGTCACTTAAGCTCTGGTCTCATATGAAAGTCAACTCCTTTTGTTTTAATGTAAGAAACAGAGTTGTTTCCCTTGGTTACTATTTTGAGGAAGTGTAAGTTATATCTTATCTTTACTTTGATGATTATATAAATCATGAGATATTTCTCTAACTACTAAACTATACTGTGATGACCTTTACTCTTTATCAGACAACTTTACCGATTTGTCATTCCATCTTACACATGACAAATTGTATTATGTCATCATGATCATGAACTTCAAAGATGCATGACTTCATTAAAAAACATCCCTCATGTAATTGTTTCAAAAATGGATATCTTTCTTCCTGTCAGCTGAGGAAAAATTGTTTGTCAATTAGTATAAGCTAAAATTATTAAGATATATTTACTAGATATACAAAGAGTACATAATTTATAAGGCAAGAAGAGGTTTGTTGAATAAAAAAGTATATATTCAGTAATTAAAGTGTCTGTCACAAGGAAAGTAGAAAGATTGACATGTAAATGAGCCACAGTCGCAGAATCCACAGGTATTAACAGAGGAAACTGGCTTTGTATACAGTTATACACAGTATATGTATAGAGATGGTTATTGTAGTATATCTCAGGGTAGCCAGGAGCTTAGTTTAGACAGGACACAGAGAAACGTTTCTAATATATGACTACACTTTGCATGCATATATGTCGATATGCCAAGTGGCCATGTTGGTAAGTCTATAGTATTTCGACTCACCCAATTCTGTTGGGGACCCCGCCCGATTGTTGTTGGGGTCCCGCAGTCTGGGACAACACGGTTGATTTAGTACTGTAACCATTGACAACAGTCAATTCATTAAAAAAATAGCCCTTCACAGTTTTACATACTGAGTTTTAATGACAAGCTTATCTAATAACAAAACAAAGGTTCTTTCAACCTAAAACAAAGGTTTACTGGTCCAGGACCATAAAATGCTTGTAAATAGAAAATGATGAAACAAGAGGCCCAAGGACCTTAGCGGTCACCTGAGTAATGTCATAGGTACTGGTAGATCAATTTCATTGTTGAGATGTGATGGTGAAATCAGCATGTAAACTAAGTGAAATACGATACTTGTCATGTCATCAAAGGATAAGAATTTTTAAGTATTGGTTAATTTTCCCTTTAGGGCCCCGCCTAGCTCCTGGGGATGGGGCAGGAATCCCAATTTTACAATTTGAAACCCTCATCTACCAAAGATGAATCTGGCCAAGTTTGAATGATTTTCTGCTGAAAATAGATAAAATATACCCAAAGTGTTATTTCCCTAAATAAACTGTAGTAAACTTTACCCCCTCCCTAAGGGAGAACGGATGGCTCGGGGGTCCTGAAATTTACACTCTAAACAAAGCCTGTGATGATCTTTCCGTCCATGCGTCCAGAAATTGATAGTACCTCTGAGTCTGGAGAAGAAGATTTTTGAAATATTGGTTAATTTTCCCTTTGGGGCCCCGCACTTGCCCATGGGGTTTGGGTAAGAATCCCAATTTTACCATTTGAAACCATCTACCTCCAAGGATAATTCTCACCAAGTAAGAATAATTTCCTACAGAAAATTGTCAAAATATACACAAAAGTGTTATCTCCCTAAATAAACTATAGTAAACTTTACCCCCTCCCCAAGGGAGAACGGATGGCTCGGGGGGCCCGAAATTTAAATTTAAACAAAGCCCCTGATGATCTTTCCATCCATGCAGAGAAAATGACTATAATACCTCTGTGTCTAGAAAAGAAGATTTTTGAAATATTGTTTAATTTTCCCTTTGGGGCCCGCCCTTGCCCCAGGGGTTGGGGTAGGAATCCCAATATTACAATTTTGTAGCCTTATCTACCAAGGATGATTCTGACCAAGTTTGAAAAAATCCATCCACTGGTTCTAGAGAAGAAGTTGAAAATGTAAAAAGTTTACGCCCGATGGACGACGACGGACGGAAAGCGATCAGAATAGGTCACTTTAGCAAAGCTCAGGTGACCTAAAAATGGGGGGAACTTCCTATTAATACAATATATAGATCATTGTGGTACTCTTGGATCGGCCATTGATAAAGAGTACTCAAAAATTGTAGAAGATACAGACAAAGGAATCTAATCCTTAACTAGACTTCACATATATGAACACTGATTCGCCAAAGCGGCCATTTTTGTAAGCCCTGTGCGTTGACTCACCCAATTCTGTTGGGGACCCCGCCCGATTGTTGTTGGGGTCCCGCAGGCTGGGAGGACGATGTTGGTTTAGTACTGTAACCAGTGACAAGTGAATTTATTCAAAATGTCCAGAAAAGGACCATCTCATAGAGACGATAGTTAAACAGCTCAATGAACAAATACCCCAAACAGTAAACTGACATTAGAAATCTAAACGCCAAAAAGTTCATTATATATGGTTAAAAACGATTTTTTGCACGAAAGAAAATTTAATTTTTATGTATTTTTCATTCCTATTAGATTGCTGGTAGATACAACTTAAAGTAACTGTTCAAATTACAAATATTAAACATAAGTTCATTTTTAAATCAAATCAGTGCTGAAATCTTACAAAATACATGTATTGACTCAATATATAATTCATAATAAGTTTAATTTTGAGCAACAAGCTGCAAAGCTTTATAATTTATAAAATGGGCTGCAATATAAAAATGTATGCATAAAGCCAAGTAAATTGTATTAACAATTTAAGAAAGTCATGTAGCGCCATTTTATCAATTTAATTCCCATTTATTTATCCAGTAAATTTTAGCTTAAAAGCCTGCAACATGTGCACAGTGCAATGACTAAAACTCTTCTACATGTAATATGACATTCAAAAGCTTTAATTATGTTTCAAAAAAATTCAATTGTTGTTAAGAAAAAAACCACAATATTTTATTGTAAGAGAAGTTCATGCTTTAGAGAAATTTTGAAGGAGAAGACAACTACTATCTAATAGTCTTTAACCCTTTCACCCCTATGTAATTTCAATAGACTCAACTATGCATTGATATGGATGAGCCCATTATGGGCTACAGTGGTAGGGCCACCTTTTGACTGACAATAAAGGTGGCATTGTTAAGAGATATGTTACATTACTACAAATGTCCTGAGAAGGTTAATTTCAAAGTAAAGGTATGCTTCAGAGATTTAGAAAAGACTTTTTTAAATATAAAAGAAGATGATGTTACACTTTGATAATTTAGAGATACTGGTAATAAATATAACACTGAGTTAGATAAAGTCATTTTTCAGAGATTTAGATATTTGTTTTTTAACAAGGAGTTTAGTAGAAGATGAGTTATTATTATTTATTTATACAAACTGAAAGAAGTTGTGCTTCAGAGATTAGAAAAGGAAGTGATCCCCATTTTTAATGACAGTGGCCATATTAATTACAGAGAAGAATTTATACTTTCAAAATTTTGTATAGATAAGAAATTAGAATAGTACTACTGGTATATATACCCCAGAGTTAAACTACAAGTATATAATAACAATCACCACAGGAATTTGAAAGATAATAACCAGGCCAGCTACTAATGCACATGCTCAGCTGCCAGCCAATCAGAGAAGCCGACACTCACCCAGTTTTACCCCCGGTGGTGGCGGGGGAGTTTTGTGTGTTTGAGGGAGTGGTACCTGTGGAACTGTAACAAATAATAAGTTAGGACCAACAACAAAATAACAGGATATTAGGTGGACATTTTCAGAAACCTACACCAGTAGCCAGTTGTCATGACAACTTTATGATATAACTCTATCAACGGCCATCATTAAGTCATACCTCAGACTTCCAAAATCGGTAGACAAATTAATGAGATATTTCTAAGGATTGGAACATACATATCAAGAAACTGGTAAAGAAGTGTAAAAATACATGTTTGTATCACAGTACAGTACAGCACATTGCATTGGTAACCTCCATGCCCTGACCAGGACGATACACATAGACATTTTCTTGAAGTTGATTTTAGCTACATTCTGGTAAATAAGAATTTCAAGCATAACTACTGTAGAATAAAAAACAAACATTTTCAAAATACTTAGCGAATATGTTAATCTCATTCTGTGGAAAAAGTTGATGTAAATTATATTTTAAAAACCCAATGTAACTGTAGAAATAACGTAAACACAGAAAACTGTCTGTGGGTCATGCAGTATATAACTAGGAAGGTTGTGGAGACTCACCCAGTCTTATTCCCTTTCCCTTCCTGTTGTTGGGTCGAAGTTTGGGAGCTGGAACGTAAAATACTCAACATGCTGGTTTACTATTGTCACTCCCTCGAAAACTTACATACCATCTGTCATCCTCATCACTACATATAAACCTGTTATACATGTACCATCCCTCTATCATCACCACATCAGAAACTCTCATACCCTGTTATCATTGTCACTGCATTGACAATTTATACTGTATACCCTGTTACTTCATTTGTATAAGTTTCCAATGCTTCCCTTTAAAATGTCATTGACACACCATCAACGTTTGACTTCAGTGTACGTTGTAAATTGCAGTAATATAGCCAATATTGTCCACTGAAACCATTTCGCAAAATATTCAACTGTCAACAGAATCAATTGCCTCACCAGATAACTAAAAGATTCAAGAAATGACAAATACTGATATATATAATGAATGGACAATTATTTTGCCTTAGATTAACCAACTGAGATCAAACATTTATAATCTGGACACAAAGGACTATCTGTACATCCCCTTGAGACATGGTTGCTGAGATAGTTCTGAAGAAATAATTTGTATTGGAAAAATTCTTACTTCAAGACATACCACAATTACTTAATATTTTAAAACCAGTATACCTAGCTGTATATAGGTGACTTTCCTCAATTATTTAATCATCAAAAGTCACTGTTGATGTTTTCTTCTGGTTATGTAAATCACTTTCAGAACAATATTTTTTTAACTAAATTTAAGTTGACTAAATAAAGGAAGTAAACCAGGGGCGGGTCCAGGTGAGGGTGTAATGGGCGTACGCCCCCCCCCCCCCCCCTTTTCAAAAAAAAACAAAAAACTATTGTCATCTGCTAATATTGTATTAAATATGGCAATTTATCATATTCATTAATAAAACACATTCTCTGATTTCTTTTTATACTGATTCCCCCATCCGATGGGTGATCCGTAAAATTTCGTTTCTCCGCCGTATTCGACTCTGCGATTAGTATCCATTGTTGTTGACCACGTGATATAGTGAAATCGTCAAAGATGTCGACGTCAAAACAAAAGCGTCAAAAGACCTTAAAATCATATCAAGATCCATCCAATCAATTTAATATACCATAGACAATTAATGGAGAGAATTCAGCATAAAAAATGTCAAACCCTGACACTTTAACTATAAAATATACATGCTCCAAGTCAGGAACCGTTACATAACATTAGTGCATTTCACAATTATTTTATGTTTTTTTGCAAAAAAAAGCTCCAAAAAAGATTTGATTCTACGCCCCCTCTTTCAAATATCCTGGAAACGCCCCTGTAAACATCTTTCACCAAGGTAATTATGATCTGAGAACAATACATGTTATCCCAGTACCGTTATAGAAGGGAGAAGTTTAGTACAAGGGATTCAAAGAAAGGATTTATTGCACAAATTAAAAATTCTTAGCAATTTAAAGACATATGAAATTTGATACAATCAAAAAGGACTGAACTGTTATTCAACTTTAATTAGCCTATCCTATGTGTACAGGTTTTAGGTGGATGATTCTGAAAGAATCAAACACATCAAGAAGAGAACTATATGATTTACATAACTTATCAAGATTCTTGCCTAAAATATTTCCGATTTGTGCACAAAAAAAGAAAAATTGAATAACATTCATTTACTCTACCTCAAACACTTACAATTTTTTTAGCGAGTATTCTGATTAAGATAAATGAAATTCTAAAATTTGAAAACTATAATTTGACATTTTATAAATCTAAATAGAGAATGCAAGAAAGTGCTAACTCAATATACATTTATCAATCGGCATATATGTGCCTTGTAGCTCAATGCATGTTAATTTAGACCACTTTCTGAGTCAAGTTTGATGTAATTTTAACAGGCCTAAATAAATATAGCTTTATAGGTCTCCAAGACAACAGAAGATAGATTGGGAGAACAATAGACTTCCTCTAGAAGGACACCAGTCTATCAAACATTCACTACCTCGTAGATACCTGTACCCAATAGTCAACCAAGGTAGATTGGAAATAAGAAACTGGGTAAAATGTCATGTACGAGAACACAAGAATCACTTGAGCATTACATATGCTAGTATGTCATTGGAATTAAATGATAGTGAAGTGGAAGCTAGGATGAGGTATATGAATCATATGACTATGACAAGTCTGTCAAGGTTTGTTAGGCTTTAATTGTGCTTAATCAAGTTATGGTAGTAACTAAGAGTTATACTGTGTGTGCTAGTATGAGGTCATGGTGGAAATGTTACTGTGACACCATGGTAACTAATGATGTCATAGAACCTGATGTATCCATGGTAACCATGACAACAGATTACATATTACTAAATATGTAGTATCATACGTCTGATTTTACATAGATTAATATCCCAGTACATGCTATATATGGTGTCCATGGTAACAGTGTTGCTATGGTAACCTATCACTCACCCAGCAGCAGGTCTACCATTTTGTTGAACATTTTGTTGTTGGCTGTTTTGACTGAAATCATCAGATAATATTTGACATTTTCTACTTCCCTTCTTCAATAAATATTCTGTAGCTAAAGACACACACAAAGCACATCCAACATATACTAGTACACAAAACTTGTACAAGTGATTGTTTAATGTGTACAACACAGGTGTATATATATATACAAGTAAATATCTTATAGCTTACTGACAACACAAACCAGACATCATGCTTACATTTCAAAAATGTTATTTTGTTAATCAGTACAATTCAATAATTAACACCTAAACTCTAGTCTGTGGCTTTTAAAATTTTAGTATTGAATAGTGACATTTCAGAGCTGCTAGGTTGTTGCAGGTTAATAAGCAAATATATATCAAAATTCTTTCTTGATTACAAATTCACTACAATTTCAAACTAAGAAATTCAATGTTGTGAGTAAATATTCAATATGGATCAATTTTAACTTGTAAAATGTTTGTTTCTGATCAAAATCTGTAAAGTTAATAGTATTAGGTAATAGTAGTCACCAAGAATTTCAAATCTTGTATTCTGTATAACACATAGTTATATTATCCACATGGGCACTCAAACAAGTTAGAAACAGGTTTTACATGGTAACTTACCCTGGTACCTCCTGCCATCCTGGTCGGCCTCGTAATACATCTAATATCGTGTTCTGTAGGGAGCATTTGAACCGAATCTCTCGATCTCTGTAAAAGTAGGAAATAGTTCACATCAACGGTACACGCAGTATAGAGTACCTGGCTATCGTGGTTCCGGTCTAATGTTAAGGAAATGCATTTGTAAGTTTGTGGAAGAACACTCACTTTCTGTCTGTCTATACGTCCATGGTTAAATGATTTTAAATTAGTTTTATACATGTATTGAGAAATAATGCCAACTGTGAAATAGAAAATATGTATTTCAAAGGATTAAATTTTTCAAAGTTTATTTTCATGAATAACATCAACAAAATATTATTCATATGTATATATTACATGTAAAAAATATGTATTGAATGAATTACAAGTGGAAAATAAGAGGCATGTTATTATGTGTAAACTGACGAAAGATTTGAATTGCATGGTAAGACTTGCACTTTCAATATTATGATATTTACCACTGAAAAAAATAATATGATAGTGTTGGTTTTTCCAGCATCAAAGTAAAAATATCTGGGCAGTAACCAGGATTCAATGCATAGAGCAGAACCCAAAGGGGAGAGTACTCTCAACTCTGAGTATTAGCCAGTTTACAACACAAAGGGGAGAGTACTCTCATCTCTGAGTATTAGCCAGGTTTAAAGGCATAGTTTACAACACAAAGGGGAGAGTACTCTCAACTCTGAGTATTAGCCAGGTTTAAAGGCATAGTTTACAATACAAAGGAGAGAGTACTCTCATCTCTGTGTATTAGCCAGGTTTAAAGGCATAGTTTACAACACAAAGGGGAGAGTACTCTCATCTCTGAACAGTAGCCTGCGGAGGCTTGAAGACACACAAGTCCAAATCGAAAATTACTCACAAACAGTAGCTACAATTTTGGCATAGTTAAGTAGCTGCAATTTAATTTTGCTATCGACATTTTTTTGTGTCTGTTTTTAAATAATTAACAGATATGATCACTTTCAATTCAAACACACATAATTTGTTTATGCTATCACACAGTAGCCTTATTATATATATAATCTAATCAAAGACTTTGAAAACATTAGAGAACAATATTGTTGATTACCGGTATAAATAAATTACACTTGTAAAGATAAATATGATATTCATTACCCAATTATTCCTCGTGCATTTCTTGATGCTTTACTTTGCATGTAGCCTGGGACCTAGAAAATAAAAAGCAATTTGAATAAAGCAGATTGTTTGCATTTAAAAAGCTTCTCTATCACAGAGCTTAAACTTTATCATTTGTAAGAAACTTTCTTTCTTCAGATCAGTTACTTATTACCATAGTTAAGCTACTCTAATATGACAGATTACATTGATAACTTCATATTACAAGAAAAGAATTTATTTAGATTGAACTTTTAAAAAACAGTAAACTTTATATCAAAATACATCATCAGTACTCAGTTAGCAATGCATATTTGAAATGGGTATCTGGATTGTGACAAATTATTTATTTAATCAGATGGAGCTTTCCATTTGTACTGTACCATATTTTGCACTTTTAATAACAATTTATTAAAAACTAATACATCATGATACCAGAGACACCTTACAGAATGTTACAGTAACCAAATATGTACTATAGTTTCGTTACAGCCCTATATACATACAGGAGTCACCATACAGAATGTTACACTGACCAAATATGTACTATAGTTTCGTTACAGCCCTATATACATACAGGAGTCACCATACAGAATGTTACACTGAGCAAATATGTACTATAGTTTTGTTACAGCCCTATATATATATACAGGAGTCACCATACAGAATGTTACATTAACCAAATATGTACTATAGCTTCGTCACAGCCCTATATACATACAGGAGTACCCATAAAGAATGTTACATTAACCAAATATGTACTATAGTTTCAGTACAGCCCTATATACATACAGGAGTCCCCATACAGAATGTTACACTAACCAAATATGTTCTATAGTTTCGTTACAGCCCTATATCCATACAGGAGTCACCATACAGAATGATACACTAACCAAATATGTACTATAGTTACGTTACAGCCCTATATACATACAGGAGTCCCCATACAGAATGTTACACTGAGCAAATATATACTATAGTTTTGTTACAGCCCTATATATATACAGGAGTCATCATACAGAATGTTACACAAACCAAATATGTAATATAGTTTCGTTACAGCCCTATATATACAATGTACAGGAGTCACCATACAAAATGTTACATTAACCAAATATGTACTATAGTTTCATTACGGCCCTATATACATACAGGAGTCACCATACAGAATGATACACTAACCAAATATGTACTATAGTTTCATTACCGCCCTATATACATACAGGAGTCACCATACATAATGTTACACTAACCAAATATGTACTCTAGTTTCGTTACAGCCCTATATATATACAGGAGTCTCCATACAGAATGTTACACTAACCAAATATGTACTCTAGTTTCGTTACAGCCCTATATATATACAGGAGTCTCCATACAGAATGTTACACTAACCAAATATGTTCTATAGTTTCGTTACAGCCCTATATTCATACAGGAGTCACCATACAGAATGTTACACTGAGCAAATATGTACTATAGTCTTGTTACAGCCCTATATATATATACAGGAGTCCCCATACAGAATATTACATTAACCAAATATGTACTATAGTTTCATTACGGCCCTATATACATACAGGAGTCACCATACAGAATGTTACATTAACGAAATATGTACTATAGTTTCATTACAGCCCTATATACATACAGGAGGCACCATACAGAATGTTACACTAACCAAATCTGTACTATAGTTTCGTTACAGCCCTATAGATATACAGGAGTCACCATACAGAATATTACATTAACCAAATATGTACTATAGCTTCGTCACAGCCCTATATACATACAGGAGTACCCATAAAGAATGTTACATTAACCAAATATGTACTATATTTTCATTACAGCCCTATATATATACAGGAGTCACCGTACAGAATGTTACACTAACCAAATATGTTCTATAGTTTCGTTACAGCCCTATATACAAACAGGAGTCACCATACAGAATGTTACACAAACCAAATATGTAATATAGTTTCGTTACAGCCCTATATACAAACAGGAGTCACCATACAGAATGTTACACTGAGCAAATATGTACTATAGTTTTGTTACAGCCCTATATACATACAGGAGTACCCATAAAGAATGTTACATTAACCAAATATGTACTATAGTTTCAGTACAGCCCTATATACATACAGGAGTCCCCATACAGAATGTTACACTAACCAAATATGTTCTATAGTTTCGTTACAGCCCTATATTCATACAGGAGTCACCATACAGAATGATACACTAACCAAATATGTACTATAGTTTCATTACAGCCCTATATATATACAGGAGTCCCCATACAGAATGTTACACTGAGCAAATATATACTATAGTTTTGTTACAGCCCTATATATATACAGGAGTCATCATACAGAATGTTACACAAACCAAATATGTGCTACAGTTTCGTTACAGCCCTATATACATACAGGAGTCACCTTACAGAATGTTACACTGACCAAATATGTACTATAGTTTCGTTACAGCCCTAGCAACCATTTGTTATAACACTTATAGTAAATCACAAGAGAAAATATGGAAAGTATTGATAAACTTAACTACATAGCGGAACTGAACCATATTGTAGGTTGATTGCCGGCGACCAGGTAGATCAAATGGTTAGAATGTCTTTCTCAGGTTCAAATCCCAATCTGGTCATACATTTTCCTTTTAAAACTATAATTTGTTCCTCGTAGTCACTTCCCTGTTATCTAGCCAACATATGTGATACCTACCCTGGTTGTTTTGGACATCTTTGTGCTGTGTAAGTCTGCCTCAATTCAAAATGTAAGATTTATCATCAGGATCTGCAGATTGTCACTTGATCCTAACTATTCAGTCCTACAATAGGAAAAATATCACAGATTCAAGTAGATTAACATCTAGTACAAACCAAGAGTAATACCGCAGGTTTGTCCTTCTTAGGGAAAATATGGTAAACAGTGATATTAAACCGAACGTAGTGGAACTTGAACTTGAAGCTTTCTTTTTTTCAAAACAGTTATTATGAACCTTCTCATGACAATGACAACTTTTAATAGCATACTGCGATATAATAATACAAATAGCATTTTATATAACATTTCACAAAGGGGATTTAATATTTTATAATTTGCTTTATTTTGGATGGAGACTCCAAATTTTTACAAGAATTCTCTAGTACTACATCATTGTTTTTGCTCAAATTTTCAAACTAAATGCACAGAACTGCTTAAACTAGGTCATTTGTTGTATTTCAAATATTGTTTTGAAAGTACTTTTAGAGATTTTATATTTTGCTTCAAACTTTATCCTCTTATGAAGAATTTCATAGGTTGACATATGCATGTATGGGTTTTATCACATTTTCAAGTATTGAAATGCACGTGTAGCGGAACTGGACTGGGTCGATCATCTGCGACCAGGTAGCTCAATTAGTAGAGCATCCCTCTAGAGTTCAGAGGGTCCTGGGTTTGAATCCCTGTCTGGCTCTGTGCATTTTTCCAACTCTGGTACACATGATTTTATGGAACTCAAATCCATATAAATTTGTCTCAAGTTTGATTTACCTGTGTCTTTCCTCTGAAATTAAAATAACTATGAAAATCTTGAATTCCGTTTAATTTTAATATGTTATATGCATTTTTAGTTTAAAGAAATTGAAATTAATGTAGGCTAATTGTCGTAAAAATAGCTCCACAGAGCTAATGTTCAATGTTATACTATATACGACACTAAATAAAGCTTCTTGTATCTTGCTAATTAGCTTTCAAATGACCACTTTTCAAGACTCGGTAACTATCGACGCGCCCTGTAATGCATTGTAATGTGACAAGTTGGATAGAACCAAAATAAATTCAAAACTACAGCAGACCTACAACGAAAGAAATTAAGATGTACAAAGGATGAAATAAACTGAAAAGCTCGTACGCATCACATCGATCGCCCATGATAAAGGGAACATGTAGGCCTATGGAAACCTCTCCACGAGCTTCAACTTTGTTGGATTGTTTACTTGGATTCGGTGTACACTGATATTCTTACCCCTTTGTAATTATTCCCTAAATCGTATTCATTAGAACGTTTGGTAGACTATAACATAACGCATTTTTTACTATTTAACTTTTCTATTTTTTCTTTAATTTATTCTTTAAACGATAGAACAAATTAACCCCATACTTTTGATGATTCAAAAGGCAAAATAATTATGATTATGGCATATAAGAATACGTCTTGAAATTGTAGTGACACCGGTTGTTATAAAGGATAACTTCCGGATAAACATTGATGGTTCCGACGACATCACTTGAGTGTGTTCCCTCATAAAACTCATGTAGCGGTTATACGGGGCTGTCCTCAGTCCTGTGAATCAGGTAAAGCTATGTGTAGTAGAACTAATCGAAGCAACTGTCATTTAATAAACAATGAATGTTTCTGTCTCGTGATTTTGAAACGAAAACTTCTCCCAGTTTATCTGTTTATAAATGTCAACTTCAAGAACTTGCTACAGAACTAACAGGTCCAGTACAGTCTGCCGATAAAGACCTAAAGAGCTATGTTCACCTATAAATTATAGCTGTATTGAGCTATATTTTCTTAGATTTCAATTTTCATTAAATTAAAGCAAAGTCGCATAAAACAATAAGGTTTATGGTAATGTTGACTACAAAAAACATATTTTCATTTTTCATAGATGTAAAATTTGCGATTTTATTACATCATTATTTTTTAAAAAGAATACTTACATTGAATGTCTTTTTTTATCAACCTAATGATAAACCTTTTTTTTTAAAGCGACTTTGTTTTGTTTTCCTTAAAAAAGAAAATCGCATGAAAATAGCTCAAAAGACCTATTTCAGATAGGTCAATAGAGCTATTATAGGTCTTTACAGCTATATAGCTCAATCAGCAGAGTGTACTGGACCTGACTAACACACTGTGACGAGTCGTTCACCTCATTTTCCTTACGAACATCCTTTGTAAATGCATACAGAGAGAGGGAAAAGTACATAAATGAACATTAAAAATAAATTGAAATAGCCAATGATATGAAGATAAAGTTGATTATAGAATTTTAAAAAACCCAGTGAAATATAGTTTAACTGAAGATTCACTGGAATGTAGTCCATAGTGCAATTCACTGTTCCTAATCATTATATGATATGTGTACGTAAAATACAAAGCTTATTTATCACATTTGACATTTACAGGACACTGAACAGGAGGCAGACATGGGGTGTACGCTGAATAAGAAGGTGCTAGGTAGTTTTTGTACTGGCTGGATCCTGTGTATCCTAGGGGCAGTGATGATACCCGCCGTGAATTGGATTATTAAACAGAAAGTAGAACAGGTACATCAATATACACATGTGGTTCTTAAAGTTCTATGGCTTTATGTAAAAGTGTTGCCTACCTACTGTAGTTTCATCTCAACCATATGGAATAAATCTAGAACTGTTGAGTTATAGAGAGATGTAAATCTAAAATGGCCGTGGGACAAATGTGTGGCACCATATAGGGGACTTAATTACTGATTGTGCAACAGAAAAGAGATATTACCACGAGTCATATAACATGATTATAACAATAACATGTCCTGCCATGAGTCATATAACAGGATTATAACAATAACATGTCCTGCCATGAGTCATATAACATGATTATAACAATAACATGTCCTGCCATGAGTCATATAACATGATTATAACAATAACATGTCCTGCCATGAGTCATATAACATGATTATAACAATAACATGTCCTGCCATGAGTCATATAACATGATTATAACAATAACATGTCCTGCCATGAGTCATATAACATGATTATAACAATAACATGTCCTGCCATGAGTCATATAACATGATTATAACAATAACATGTCCTGCCATGAGTCATATAACATGATTATAACAATAACATGTCCTGCCATGAGTCATATAACATGATTATAACAATAACATGTCCTGCCATGAGTCATATAACATGATTATAACAATAACATGTCCTGCCATGAGTCATATAACATGATTATAACAATAACATGTCCTGCCATGAGTCATATAACATGATTATAACAATAACATGTCCTGCCATGAGTCATATAACATGATTATAACAATAACATGTCCTGCCATGAGTCATATAACATGATTATAACAATAACATGTCCTGCCATGAGTCATATAACATGATTATAACAATAACATGTCCTGCCATGAGTCATATAACATGATTATAACAATAACATGTCCTGCCATGAGTCATATAACATGATTATAACAATAACATGTCCTGCCATGAGTCATATAACATGATTATAACAATAACATGTCCTGCCATGAGTCATATAACATGATTATAACAATAACATGTCCTGCCATGAGTCATATAACATGATTATAACAATAACATGTCCTGCCATGAGTCATATAACATGATTATAACAATAACATGTCCTGCCATGAGTCATATGACATGATTATAACAATAACATGTCCTGCCATGAGTCATATACCATGATTATAACAATAACATGTCCTGCCATGAGTCATATGACATGATTATAACAATAACATGTCCTGCCATGTTATAAATCGACAGTGGAATTATGTGTTATAGTAAATGGTACTTAAGAAATTCCATCCCATGTTAATCTGATATTCTTCAAAAAACACATTCTCAATTTAACCACTGAAGATTTTTTTATTTAAATTAAAAGTAAGGTATTGATGACATTGTTAAGTACAATACACTAATTAGACAACATTATTACCACATAATTGCTTACTGCAATGAATTTAATGCTTACTTTGACAAGCAGTTTCATTAAGTTCTGCTTCAAAATTTTTTTTAACGTTATGCATGTATTATTATTTCAAGACTAATTTTTGGACCTGTCTAACACAAATTGCCTTTTATGACAGAAGTCAAATTCAGATTCTTTATTTTAATTATTCATGTTGAGCATTAAGTTCATCAGTACAGATAAAATAACATTACAAAAACTCAAGTACAGAATACTAGGTTGATGACATACACATCAACTATGAATACATAATGTTATTAATACACCAATAATTTGTGAATCTTCATAGACACTCTAATCTGTGTGTCGAGGGATAAGTGGATACAATGTTCCCCCATCTGCTGATTAAAGATATTTACCTACTAATTCTAATTCCTTGAGTAACATTTCTTACCGATAAATTAAAAGTTTGATTAGCTTTGCCATGATACCATAATTAGTTGTTGTCAGTGTGTTATAACAAATTCAGCTTGACATGGAGAAAATTCAAATGGCAGTACACTAACATCCTGCTGTTGATTTCTTATAGAGTGTTGTCCTGGTGGAGGGTGGCGCCACCTATGACATATGGAAGGACACACCCATTCCCATATACATGCAGTTCTATATGTTTGATGTCAGAAACCCAGAAGAGGTACTGCAGGGCAAAAAACCTTTTGTTGTACAGAAGGGACCGTACACTTACAGGTAATTCACACATTTTTATGAACATCAATATTGTATTATTTGATTGAAAGACCCATGGATTGATTGTAACTCTTAATTCTACTTTAAGGAAATACTTGTTTAAACCCGAGTGTCCAGCTAATCTGTACTGTATATCTGTTAACATTACAGGGAGGTGAGGACGAAGTTTAACATCATCCATAATGACAACGGGACAGTGAGCTACAGACAGAACCGTACCTTCCACTTTGTCCCCAGCATGTCGGTCGGTAATGAAAACGAGACCTTCACCACACCCAATCCTGTCTACTGGGTCAGTGACCTACCTTACATCTGTCATCAGATTTATTTACATGTAGAAAAGAATTTGTATTAAGATTATGTATACATGTATATGGATAAGCCAATTGAGGTTTGCTGTGGCTCATTGTCTTTCTTCAACAATTCTTTTTAAAACCAACCAAGAACAACTGAGGTACATGTACCTGCGTATAAATATGGCTCTTTTTAGCTCACCTGCCGAAGGGCAAGTGAGCTTATGTTATGGTGTGGCGTCCGTCCGGCCGTCCGGCATCCGTCTGTCCAGCGTCAACTTTTTGCTTTAAACAACTTCTTTTCAGTAACCAAAAGGCCTAGGATGATGATATTTGGCCAGTAGCATGCTGAGATCAAGGGCTACCAAGTTTGTTCAAATAAATGACCTTGACCCACTTTCAAGGTCACAGGGGTCAAATATGTTAAAATCCTCAAACAACTTCTTTTCAGTAACCAAAAGGCCTAGGATGATGATATTTGGCCAGTAGCATGCTGAGATCAAGGGCTACCAAGTTTGTTCAAATGAATGACCTTGACCCACTTTCAAGGTCACTGGGGTCAGATGTCTTTAAAATCTTCAAACAACTTCTTCCCTATAACCAAATGGCCCAGGGTACTGATATTGGGCCTGTAGCATACAGGGATGAAGGGCTACCAAGTTTGTTCAAATAAATGACCTTGACCCACTTTCAAGGTCACTGGGGTCAGATGTCTTAAATCTTCAAACAACTTCTTCTCAATAACCAAAAGGCCCAGGGTACTGACATTAGGCCTGTAGCTCGCTGGGATGAAGGGCTACCAAGTTTATTCAAATGAATGACCTTGACCACCTTTCAAGGTCACAGGGGTCTAATGTCTTAAAATCTTCAAACAACTTCTTCTCAATAACCAAAAGGCCAAGGGTACTGATATTGGGCCTGTAGCATGCTGGGATGAAGGACTATCAAGTTTATTCAAATTAATGACCTTGATCAACTTGCAAGGTCACAAGGGTCAAATGTCGTAAAATCTTCAAGCGACTTCTTCTCAATAAGCAAAAGGGCCAGGGTACTGATAGTTGGCCTGTAGCATGCTGGGATGAAGGACTACCAAGTTAGTTCAAATAAATGACCTTGACCAACTTTGAAGGTCAAAGGGGTCAAATGTCGTAAAATCTTCAAACGACTTCTTCTCAATAACCAAATGGCCCAGGGTACTGATATTGAGCCTGTAGCATGCTGGGATGAAGGGCTACCAAGTTTGTTCGAAGAAATGACCTTGACCCACTTTCAAGGTCACTGGGGTCAAATGTCTTAAAATCTTCAAATAACTTCTTCTCAATAAGCAAAAGGGCCAGGGGACTGATATTGGGCCTGGAGCATGCTGGGATGAAGGGCTACCAAGTTTGTTCGAAGAAATGACCTTGACCCACTTTCAAGGTCACTGGGGTCAAATGTCTTAAAATCTTCAAATATCTTCTTCTCAATAAGCAAAAGGGCCAGGGGACTGATATTGGGCCTGGAGCATGCTGGGATGAAGGGCTACCAAGTTTATTCAAATGAATGACCTTGACCAACTTGCAAGGTCATATGGATCAAATGTCGTAAAATCTTCAAGCGACTTCTTCTCAATAAGCAAAAGGTCCAGGGTACGGAAATTTGGCCTGTAGCATGCTGGGATGAAGGACTACCATGTTAGTTCAAATGAATGACCTTGATCCACTTTCAACCTTATGTCCTTGTTCGACAATCAAGGTCAGAGTCGTCATATGTTTAAATCTTTTAATAGGTTCTTATGAAATCTTAAGATTACAAGTGTTAGATTTATAACAGGTGAGCGATGCAGGCCCATTGGGCCTCTTGTTTTAATTTCATGTTTGGCACACACAAACTAGGTGTATTAATGAGGATACACTGTACCACAATTAAATAGACTATTTCCTTCCAGGTGATATTATAAATAGCAATGTTTCTATTTTGTTGCAACTTAATGAAAATACTTACAAAAGTTGTGTCCATGGTTGAATGATTTTAGAGTGTAACAATGTTTTGATTCGATGATGTAATGCTATTTCTATGGTTGGATGCTTGTAGAGTGTAATTTGGTTGGGTGGTTTTAGAGTGTAACAATCTTGATTGTATTACAGTCACTGATATCTTCCCTAAAGTGGATGTATCCTGGAATGCGTGACATTATTCGATTAGTCACCTCATTTGAGAAGGAGAGTGTATTCATGGAACGCAGCATGTATGACATAATCTGGGGTTACCAGGACAAAATGCTGACTGCTGCCCAAGTGTTAGACAACAAATGGTTCTACACAAATACCATCGGCTACTTCATGAATGTGAGTCTTCTCTACAGCACTTTGATCATTCTGTCTAACTTCAGCAGGAAGTAGACATATAAACTGGTAGATATTCAATCGAGTTTTAAATCATGAACCAAGCATTGACATAATGTTAAGAAATATGTTGAAACAACAGAAAAATGTTATTGATATGACATTCATTGTAAAACAATTAATCTTTATTTTGATTCCAAACCATTTAATATAGTTTGACAAGTGATTCTGTTCATATTGTTATGACAACATATTTCATGCTATCTCACTGACTTTATCTTTAACAGTAGATAGTAAAATTATATATGGCAGATATAACCATGTAGTTCTGTTACTTTTTGTTTATACTTATATCTGTATCAATGTTGAATTATAAGAAACGGTAGGAGTCTTTTTCATTTTCTCAGTATGGCAGCAAAAGAAATATGCTACATAGATTCGTGAAGCTTGCACATATTAATTGTATGTCACAATACAATATTTGGTTGCTAGCTGTAAATGAAGTTCTCTGTACATTTTCTCACTTGATTTTCACAGAAAAATGCTACAAACGATGGCGTATACACCATTTATACCGGAGAGACCGACATCCAGTTCCTTGGGGGGATAGATCGCTACAATGGATCCAGGTGTGTACTCAGGCCCAGTCCTACTACTGTTTATCAAATATCTTCTGTATTTGAAATAATTTTGAAAAAATAAATATGCTGAAGAAATATTTATGCATGCATTGCTAAATTCTGAATTCACCTCCCACAAAGTCTATGTAACCTTATGATATGGCACATAGTCCAGCATCTGTCTGTACAGTGTCAACTTTTTTTAAACAACCTCTTCTAAAGAATCACAAATCCGAAAGTCTTAAAAAGAACTACAAAGCCCAAGATCTGAAATACATTGAATACAATGTTGGTTGTTTGGTGAAAAGCTCTCCGGTGTGTTCAGGTCAATGACTTTACTCTGCTTCAAGATCATGCGGGTCAAATAAACAAACAAACATCAAGTTCTATCCTAACAAACAATAGTAGTTTGCCTGGTTGAAGATATAGCTGACAACTTCCAATAAATGACCTTGACCAACCTTCAAGATAACTAGGTATTGATGTATTTAGCATTTCAAATATTTTTCGTAAGATCCACTATACCAGTTATGACCTTAATTAAACTTACTCAATTACTAGTTTTGTTCTAATAAATTACCTTGCCCCATAATAAAAGTTATGACCCACATTCAAGGTCTTAGCTGTTAAATATAACAAACCCTAAGATGTAGAATAATGTTATTTGGCATTTAGCTTAGTTGGTGAAGAGCGAAAAAGCAGTGCTATCGTTTTGGAAGGATTGTTTTTATTTGTCTTCCATGAACACACTGTGTACAAAATTACAGAACTGCCATCTATACAGAAATAAAGACATAATTTCTGTGATTGTCATTTCCACAAAATGCCAGAATGTCACTTAGACATCAGTACACAATTCCAATCACAAGTCAGACTAGACAGAGAGACATCATTGGACCCTGATGGAATGATCGAAAGATCTTAAGGTAATAGGAGTGTATTGATAAACGGAAATAGGAAGTGCATCCCTAGTTGAAAATCCAATGTAGGGAGACAGTATCACAATTTCCGCATATTCTGATGTTTAATATTAAACTGATAAATATTGCATGTTTATTATTGACAGAACAGTGTGTTCTCTCAATATAAAAGTATTTCAAAGCAATCCAGGCATTACTTCAGTTGTTTTTTATCAATAAGTCACATGTGTCCATTTTTCTGTACTTCAGGAACCCGGCTACCTATTTCACTACTGCGAAGTTTTTCAAGAAAGATAACTCTTTACATGCAATTACTATATGTACATGGTTTTATTATAAAATGTCATTTTTTAAACGTTTATAGATAATTCATTTTACACAATTTCAGCATTTATTAAATTGATATACATTAATGCAATACTTATCTATGTCAGTATCATTTTTGTTTACATTATTTTGCCTAAAATTGTCTTTCATTTTTTTTTCAAAACTCACTCCTTTTTACATAAATTTTCATTTCAAATCCTTTAAATTTTGACAACCTATATTTTTTTTGTGGCAGAAAATTTTCTTTACTTCAACGCAATATAACTACAAAATTGGAAGAAATTCTACTGAGAAATGGTGACACAATCCTATTACCTTAATGAATTCTAGTTAAACATTAACATGCCTCAGTTCTTGGTTGTATGTATGATAGAAATGTACAAACTATATTATAGTTAGTGTAAAGGACAGGTACTGAATATGACAATTGAACCGTAACATTTTGTATTTCTATTCTAGTCACCTGGACTTTTGGAGCACGCCCTATGCTAACATGATCAATGGAACCGGTGAGAAAATGTTAACACCGTCTGTATACGTCCATATAGTGTTATAGTTCAGAGAATCTGTGCCATTAGGGTGAAAGGTGAAGGAATCAGTATCCTATAGGGGTAAAAAGGGGAGGAATCGGGGAATCAGTATCCTATAGGGGTAAAAAGGGGAGGAATCAGGGAATCAGTATCCTATAGGGGTAAAAGGGGGAGGAATCAGGGAATCAATATCCTATAGAGGTAAAAAGGAGAGGAAAAGTAACCAATGGATTAATGATGGAAGGAGGGGGGAATTAATATTAAAGGTGAATTTCTGTACAGTTAAAGATATATTGAAGGTTTACATCCTGCAAGTTCAGGAATGACCTGCTATATCCCACTGTATGATCATAAGAGATGACTAACATCAGACACTGTTACAGAGTAAAGATTTCCTTCTTGAGGATTCAGAGGAGATCACATTGATCTGCTCCAACTACAACAGTGCTGATCCCTGTCTTTTACTCTCTTAATGTCTATTATGTATTTTCAGCACGATTGCCTCCCTAGGCATCCCTGATAAATTTGTTATCAAACAAATGTGTCTGTGAGGTTGTCATGGTACTGTGCCCTGGTTAAAACGTCTCAGTGACATAGCTCTATCATTGGTAGACAAGGCTTTTATATGACTTCATTTGTTGTTGGGATGTACTTTCTTAAACTTACACCAAAAAGAAGTAATCTTAAATTCAACTTAAAATCAGAGCAGACAGGATGGATGTTGAAATTGTTAGATAGTACTGAGCAAAATATGTAGATCATAAAATCAGTTGCTTATGGCCTGTTCCTGTATCTTGATGTGGTATTTTTAAATTCACTTACTCATTGCCTGTCACTGTATCATGATGTGTCAGATTGTTGACAGCTTTTTATGTTCTTTGGCTATTTTGTAGATGGCACTGTAGGACCTCCATACAGAGGCAAGAACCAACCTTCCCCTGTGTTCTCATCAGATGCGTGCAGGTGAGAAATGTTTTCACTGTTTGTCTTGCATAATCAGGTCAGGACTCCCTCACCTTTCAGGGACTGTCTCATATTTATAAAATGTTGTTGTGTGTTTTATGGTTATTATTTTATTATTTAAGTGCTTATACTAATGAACATATTGAAAACACTACTCTTTTACTCATTTAAGTAATTATAGTTCAGAACAAATATATTACTAATAATTCAACATTTCATATTTGAAGAAAAAAACACACAAGTAAGAATTAGATTTTTTAGAATTGGATATTTTACCAGATTGTTTTAAACTAAATTGTTAAGTATTGAACATGTTATAGAGTCTGTAATAAAGTCTTCATATTGCAGGTCAGCTGGGGGCTTGTACCATGGGGATGTGACCTCACCCCAGGGGATAAAACTGTGGCGGTACATTGCACCTCCTTCCTATCTAGCCAATGCTACCGAAAACCCGGACAACATTGGGTTCTGTACTCCGGAGTCCAAGTGTCTCAACACAGGCATGCTCAACATCAGTACATGTCAGCAAGGTAGGGCTTGGGAATTGTAAACAATGTCCATAACAAAAACTCCAAACATCAGTACATGTCAGCAAGGTAGGGCTTCGGAATCATCAACAATGTCCATAACCAATAAGTGGGAGGTCCGGTCGCACACTGGATAACACACTCGCATTTTAACAAGGTTTCCGGGGTTCGAATCCCCGATCGGACATGAAAAGGTATGGGATCACCTGACCGACCACATGGGTTTTCTCCGGGTACTCTGGTTTCCTCCCACATTAAGACTCCATGCACGCTAACATCTGGGCCAACAAGAGTGATAAATATAAGTTGTAATAACTTGTATGATAATTGTTGTAAAATAAAGTTCATATTTAGTGACCATAAAAAATCTGATGGTGATAGGTGATTCCAAATCTAGATTTCAGTTTACAATTTAGCGACAATTTTTGCCATTGGAAGTAGCTATAAATTAGAAATGGGGCAAGCTGTCTTTATCTTCTGATCATGTTCAGAGTAATGGACATATATCAGCAATTCTAGGTCACAAATATCTATTTTACTAGTAAAACATCACTGGCCATAGTTGCACCATCAATATACTTTCTGCAAATCTGAAAATTGAATGAAGTAATCCCCTTAATGACATGCATGTTTGGTAACTACGAATTTTGAGGGCTCTTGTATGAAATTAAAAAATTATCCAAATAACCTTGAGAAGGAAAAAAAAAATGGCATGAGATTCATCAAAATACAGACAAAACAAAAAACAAAGATAAATCAGAATGAAGACATTAAAAATTAAAAAATTTGAATAAAGAACCTTTATAAACAGCAGTTGTATTTATGTTCAAAGACAACCGATTCTAATCTTTGTTTATTTCAAAAATCAAGAAACAAAACATTTCACCAAACATTGTGTCAAACTGCAGTGATAAGTTCTGGTTGATGTTGTAGTGGACTTTTTCCACATTCCTGTGTCGGTGTCATTTCCTCACTTTAATCTGGCTGCCCAGGAATACCAGGACTCTGTGGAGGGACTACATCCTGTGGAGGAGGAACACCAAACCACGGTGGACAAAGAACCGGTAAGTGTAACAATCTGGACAGTTTAATCAAAACATAACTTAAACAAAATTTCTGGACATAAAAATGCATGCGAATGCATATACGTGATACCCTTTAATGGGTTTTTATTCCCCACCAACTCGTTGAGAAATGGGGTCTCTCCGTGCTGCCATTCGTCCGTCCATGCACCTGGTTAAGAAGAATTGCTCTCGTCTATATCTTGCCTACTACAAATGCTATATTGATTATACTTGCATCAATTGTGTATTTAGGGTTGCTCTACTGAATGCATATTGCGGATGCTGATTTTGACCTATATTTTACGCTTCATGTTTTTAATGACTTTTGAACTGTGAGTGGGGGATAGCGATGACAGCGTCTACTTGTTATGTTTGTCACAACCATTAAGTAATATATATTAAATGAAAAGTGTCCAATCTCAAACGTTTTATGATGAACAATTGAGCAAAGTCTTTGAACAATTTTTGCTGAACAGCAATGAAGGGAAGGTTGACACCGCAGTACAAAAATGTAACATGCAGCTGTTGAGGAAATTGCACTCGGTCAGTGTTTGCATCTTGACCTGATGTCTCTCAATGGATTTGAGACTGCCATAATTGATGGAATTTTAAAATAGTTTGAGATTCACATAATTATGTACCTTAAAGTATGGGATACCCCACTCCCCACATGTCTGTTCATATATAAATAGTGTTAGGTACTTGAGGTGAATGTCAAATAGTTGGTGGTTGCATTTGGGGGACACAGTGGATAGTGCACTCACCTTTCACCAAGGCAACCAGGGTTCAATACCCCGATCGGATGTAAAAAGGTATGAGGTTGCTTGCCCAACCATGTGGGTTTTCTCTGGATACTCCAGCTTCCTGCCGCATCAAGACTCCCTGCACACTTTTTTGAGCAGTTGGAAGTTGACCTCTTGAATCTCAATAAATGAATGGTGCACCACACAGTGACCACCAAATCTTTACATCCATACATAAAATGGTAGCAAAGATGTTCCTCAGAAACCTACACCTATGCGGTATTTTAAACTTGAGATCATATTGAGGTTGAAGTGAACTGATTTCATGACCAGGTATACTTCTTGACTATAAAAGTCCATATATAAAATGGTAACCAAGAATTTTTTGATTCAGATACCTGTATTAAACTGTTTTAGTACTTGAGGTTAATGTCAAAGGTAAAATAGCAGTCACAATGATCTCATTTGGAATGTGTCAGACAGCCTTCCTATTATGTACCTATGTGCAAAGTTTGATGCCCATCCATGAAACAACGGCTGAGATGTGCATCAGAAACCACGGTCAGCACAAACAGACACCTGTACATACTCATGGACTATTTGAGAAAGGGTCAATGAGTAGAGATTTTTCACTGTAATGCTTGGCTAATCTGTAATGTATTTCATGTTTCAGTACACTGGTTTGGTGCTACAGGTAGCCAAGAAGATACAACTGAACATGTATCTCCAGCCTATTGGAGAGTTTGAGTAAGTTTAACCATAGTCACATTGTGTGTATATGTACAGTCAACGTTACTCTGACATTTTTGTAAAATAAAAGGAAACAGCTTTTAACAACATAGATTTGCAATATCATACTGTATCCATATTTATGTAAAAGATGTGCATTGATAAGGTTGCCTTACAGGCGTCAGCTGTAGGGAATTTCCCTTTAGCTCAGCGGTATAGCATTAGGCTGGAAAGCCAAGGGTTGCGGGTTCGAGCCCCAGCGACGGCACTATCTTTATCACTTTTCATTGTCCTACTACATTTATATATTCTGTATACAGATATATCCAATAATATACTATATGCAGGGTTATATCTACTGTATACAAGGCTATATAAACTGTATACAAGGTTATATAAACTGTATACAAGGCTATATAAACCGTTTACAAGGTTATATAAACTGTATACAAGGCTATATAAACTGTATACAAGGTTATATAAACTGTATACATGGTTATATAAACTGTATACAAGGCTATATAAACCGTTTACAAGGTTATATAAACTGTATCCAAGGCTATATAAACCGTTTACAAGGTTATATAAACTGTATACAAGGTTATATAAACTGTATACAAGGCAATATAAACTGGATACAAGTCTATATAAACTGTATACAAGGTTATATAAACTGTATACATGGTTATATAAACTGTATACAAGGCTATATAAACTGTATACAAGTTTATATATACTGTATACAAGGCTATATTAACTGTATACAAGGTTATATAAACTGTATACAAGTTTATATATACTGTATACAAGGCTATAAACTATACAAGGCTATATAAACTGTATATAAGGCTATATAAACTGTATACAAGGTTATATAAACTGTAAACAAGGCTATATAAACCGTTTACAAGGTTATATAAACTGTATCCAAGGCTATATAAACCGTTTACAAGGTTATATAAACTGTATACAAGGTTATATAAACTGTATACAAGGCTATATAAACCGTTTACAAGGTTATATAAACTGTATCCAAGGCTATATAAACCGTTTACAAGGTTATATAAACTGTATACAAGGTTATATAAACTGTAAACAAGGCTATATAAACCGTTTACAAGGTTATATAAACTGTATCCAAGGCTATATAAACCGTTTACAAGGTTATATAAACTGTATCCAAGGCTATATAAACCGTTTACAAGGTTATATAAACTGTATCCAAGGCTATATAAACCGTTTACAAGGTTATATAAACTGTATACACGGCTATATAAACTGTATACAAGGTTATATAAACTGGATTCAAGGTTATATAAACTGTATACAAGGCAATATAAACTGGATACAAGTCTATATAAACTGTATACAAGGTTATATAAACTGTATACAAGTTTATATATACTGTATACAAGGCTATATTAACTGGATACAAGGTTATATAAACTGTATACAAGGCAATATAAACTGGATACAAGTCTATATAAACTGTATACAAGGTTATATAAACTGTAAACAAGGCTATATAAACCGTTTACAAGGTTATATAAACTGTATCCAAGGCTATATAAACCGTTTACAAGGTTATATAAACTGTATCCAAGGCTATATAAACCGTTTACAAGGTTATATAAACTGTATACAAGGTTATATAAACTGTATATAAGGCTATATAAACTGTATACAAGGCTATATAAACTGTATACAAGGCTATATAAACTGTATACAAGTTTATATATACTGTATACAAGTCTATATAAACTATACAAGGCTATATAAACTGTATACAAGGTTATATAAACAGAGTACAGGGTTATATATATACGTTTTGTACTGTAAAGTTGGTCAGTTTTCACTAATTTGTGGAGCACATGTGATTACAGAAAATTTTATCTGGATTATTGCAATTTGTACGATAGGTAAACATTATCTGTGATAATAATTGCAATGAAGCATACTGTAATTACTAGACCAGAATCGTCTTTAGAAAGCTTCTATATATGGAGGCTGTCTCAAAAAATTTGGTAATGCAGCAAGTATGATTGATTGAAATAGATTGTATGTTTTATGACAGGTCTACTAAAAAACAGGTAATGGTTGGGTACAGGTGATAGATAGGTGTATATAAATAGAGAACCGTTCAATGGTGATAACTGATTCTGGTTTGGGGGTTTTTTCTGAAAACACTGTACATAATATATTCTTTTGTCTGTTATTTTGCTTGCAATACATATCACACTCTTTTTTTGTTCAACAGAGCCACCAAAGATATAACTCCTGTGTTTGTTCCACTTTTCTGGGTTAATGAGGTAAGACAATTTAATTAATCATCTCAAATGGTGTTTTTTTAAATACATCTCATACCTGCATATATATAAATCTGCTAAAAGGCATACTCCTCTTCCAGCACTTTGTTATCAACTTAATGGAGATCACGGTGCCATTAATCCTATCTGAATGTGTGAAAAAATCTAGTTATTCAAGAATTATTTTGTAAATCAGAAAAACTAGAAAATCTTAACAACTGACCAGAACACTGAGGAATTAAGGTTATAATATGGCTACTATAACAATCAGTAACTGATGATTAAATCTCCAGCAAATCTAGTGTGCAAGTGTATGACAATACTACAGGCTATGGACTTCTTTCCAATACTTGCAGCATATAAATTGTAAGAGTTGTCTTTCCTCATCTTTGTATTTGCTTAGCATAGTATTTGATGAGGAAGATTCTTTGAAATCTTTTTTGATGCTGTTACTAACAAGTATACATTATTTACTTTGTCCAGTACTCATGTTCAACTTAATTACTGTTGTCCCTAATACTTGTGAAAGTCCGTTTCAAAGGAAGCATTCCACAAAATTCTCATGTTGCCATGCACAAGATTGTAGTTCAAAATTTGACTGTTTAAAAATAGATATAAAAAAAGAAAAATGCAGGTGTCAAATTCAGGACCTTCACCTTTAGAAGGTTTCAGTACATTAATGTTGATTTACATGAATTACACAAGCATAGCATCAAAATCAGAGTACCATTACCCGGTATAAGCCACAAATCATATGAAAAATATGACAGGGAAGCAACTCTGAACCAGAAAAACTCCTTTCGGTTGTTTCATCTGCTGTTAAGAAGGGAGAATACGCCAAGTCCAAAAAAACTGAAAGTGGAACTCTTCTTTGTGATTATAATTGATGCAGTGGTACCCTTTACCTATACAGGTGCTGCTTGTTTTTACAAGGTTCTATCTTCTGTTAAACAAAACATGGGGGTAAAATATATAACTTATACACAAATTTTATATTCGAAAAGTGGCTTGTTCTTTTATAATAATTTTTTTCTTTCCATTTAATCATTTTGCCAAAATGTTACATAATATAAGTAGTAATATTTGTGAATTAAACCTTTATAGTACTACTTTGAAGCAGATATAAAAAGTAATTATTTTCACGTTTCCAATGCACAACCCTTTTACCTACAAAGACATATTTGCAGGTTTGGCTGAGTGGTTAGCACTGTGGTCCTCCACACAGATGGCAGGGGTTTGATTCTCAAAGTTTTAAAGAGAAAGTGTTAATTGTCCCACACCAAGATACGTCCAGCACAAACACGTTGAGTTATTAGCTTAGACTGCTAGGTGGCTTATGACCAGTAATAAAGGCCTGGTAAGGCAGCTCCTTCGGAATTCTTATATTGTATTATAGAATGTAGAATTAAATGAATTATGTATTGCATCGTTAAGCCTTACAATGGCATATTATAAATAAACAAATGTTGTATTATAATAATTATATCTAATGTGACTATACTGACTGGTGTAAGTTAATATACAAAATGCTATTTCCTAAATGATTACTTCAACTTGGTATATTGTACCAAGGAGCTGAATCACTTAAGTAGAAATTCCTGTTCTGTTACTCAGTTCAAAAAAAAACTTGTGGGACAGAGATGGGGAAAACCAATGTTTCCAGATGAAGGCAAATTCTATATGTGGTATTTTTTGTTGTAATGTGAATATAGATATAGGTGAAAGAATATGCTGTGATGTGGCAGTTGGGGTTATAGATACTAGTATACACTGTAGAGTCGTGTCCTACACCCACAGATGTGGAGAGCTAAGATAAGATTATCATCTCTGTCGGCTATAAACAGGATGATGTACTGATTGACCCTGTAGGGACAAGGTCAGGGGTCACATACTATTTTTTCGGCAATAATAACATGTTTTGTTAGGGATGTAATTGGAAACACACACAGCCATTCTTATGATGCTGCAACACAGTGAAGATTCTGACATAAATCTTGTAACAGAAAAAAAAAACTTATTTTTCTTCACTTTCCAAAGTTACCCTGCACAACTTCTAACCCCAACTTCTTTAAAAGAGTCGTAAAATGTCTTAGATGTCTTGTAAAATTTTACTATCCTTTTTTATTTTCTCTTCACTGTACCTCCCATTGTCTGTCCTTCCCTTTCCACTACCTGTGCAGGTAAACAATAGAGCTGCTGCATCACACTGTATAATGGTACAAGTAATGTGTGGCCCCCTGCAGGATCGAGGCTTTACGTTTCTGTCCTCCCTAGAGTATGTTAGAGACACCACAGTAAGCTGCTACACTAATTGTAACAGTTGGGGCCTTTATCTTATCTGTTTTTACACTTTTTTTTCTACATTTTATGCTTCTGTGTCTTTTTTTGCACCAACCAATTACTCATTGTATGACCTCATTATAAACTCTTCTCAAACCTATTTTCCTGCTTACTGCAAATCATTTCCATTTTCTCATTCATCTTTTGTCCCAGNCCCCCAACAATTCCCTTATTAATTTTCCCCTTTCCATTCAACTTTACCCTTTAACTTTTCTACTTCTCTTAGCCCCTTCCATCCAATTTTCTGTCCTGCTTTCATCATTTTCCTTTCCATCTTTCCCGTTTCTATGTTTTTTCTACCATCCCTTTTCTCCTGAGCTCTTCCCCCTTTTACCTTGCTTCCTTCTTTTTCCTTATCTCATTCAACTCTCCTACCTCCCCTTCATCTTTACACTTTCCATTCAATTTTCCTACCTCTCTTCTCCTTACCTTTTACCTCCCCAATTTCCTTTTCACCCACCCCTTCTTCTTTCCTTTTTACCATTCCATTTATTTTCTCTTCACCATCTATCATCCCCATCATTTCTCCATCTAACCATACCATTTTATCTCCCTCCCTTTCTCTTTCCTTTCCCTCCCTTTTCCCACTGCCTTTTCTCCTTCTCATTCCTTTCCTACTTCCTGTTTCTCCTTTGATTTTCCCATTCCCCATTTTCCTTCTGAGTTCCCTTCTCCTTTCCTCTTTCCCCTTTCCTTCAGCCTTTTCCCTTACTCCCACTTCCCCCCTTCCCCATTTTCTGCCCCCACCCCACCTCTTCCAGAGAGTGGTAGATGACTCATCAGGTATGTAACATCTAGGGAACATCTCTGTCCAATGACAGTTCATCAGTAGTAAATAATTTCCCTAGCACAACGTCTGCTTATCTCCCCACAGAACATATACTCATAACAAACCACACTTATCATAACTCTTAGTTTTTTTTCACCTCTTCCTCAGAAATCATATCTTTGTTTTTTTCCACATCATTAAATTCTTGAGATAAGAAGTGTTTTTGTGATGATATCAGCTTTGCGAGGTCTTCAGGATGAGAGAAGCTTGAATCAGCATCATCTACCTGTAGTAAATGTCCGTATTATTTCTTAAATATTGAAATTGAAAATAACAAATATCAGCATATTTTTAGAAAGAATATAGGATTTTTTAAATAGATATGAAGCACTTTGTCTATATTTACATGTAAAACAATACAGACTGAGGCTGTTGTTTTCAAAGCCTTTGTTTCCTTATCAGTTTTGATATAAAATCACTAAAATACTAAGTAATGGTTATAATTTGCTTAGAGCATTTTGAATGACAAGTTAGATTATTCTTACCTTTGAATGACATTGTTTAACTCATGATCAGCGGGTACAATATCAACTGGATAACAGGTAGTGTGCTTCTAGAGGGTATTCAACAGGCACTTCAAACTTATCATAGCAGAATTTTACTTTGTTGTCATGGCAACAGCTGCTTTAATGATGTTGACTTATTCCCTAATATCCCTTGTTTCCTTGTTCCTGTTCTTACCTGGTAGGAGAGTGTCAGTAAGTTTGTGTGAAGGCACAGCAGCCATTGTCTGTCTTGTTGTCCATCCGTCATAAACTTTTCCTTTACACAAATTACTCTACAGAAGAATAAGTCATGATATCTGGCCTGTAGCATGGTGTGGTGATAGCTATAGCAGATTGGTGGAAAGTATTTACAATGACCTTGACTTCATTCAAGGTCACAGGAGTCAACATTGGTAACATGAGACATTTAGTTTTGATCTACATCTTTCTACATCTAAGTTTTACTTGGTCCTAAGTGGTGCATGTTTGTTTTTGAAACTGATCAGACTTATAAAGGGGTATTAAGTTTTGATCAAAAGTTTCTGTTTGATGAAAGTAATGTTGACATTACTATCAACAAAAGTTACAGATAATAGAAAGGATCAAACATACATAGAACTAATGACTATCTTCCTATGATAGATGCAAAAATCCCTCTGGGATCTGTTGTTGTTATTTTATCCTGTTTTCCACTATACTTTTCTTGAACAAAATTTCCAGGATAAAAATTTGGTGCAAGTAATGAAATTCACTTTAAGATATAGCAATTATTTTTACCAGGATGGTGAGATTTGACATCAAATTTCCTGAGGCATCAAAAAGTACCAAACAAAAGTCAGTCCAGAATTTTTTTAATATCTTTTTAACTTTTTCACCAGCTTTGAATATTCTTCAATAGACAAGCTCTACAGTTCTCCAACAGCTCCCGTTTGCCACTACAGATAGATTTTAGCTGTACGGTCTACAGATGTTTTTTCATGCCCCAACCTAATGTTCTTACTTTTAGTCGGATACAACTGTTCATCTCCTTGCCCTGACCAGCTGTTTTTACTTTTTTGAACCAAATTGAAATCTAACGGTGCCACCCTGACCTCTTTGACTAAGATAGAGATGTTTGAAACATGTGACTACCATATTATCACCTTTCCTCTGCAGCTTCACAATGTATATATACACTGTTCAAATACATCTTCACAAGTTATAGTTTTATAAATGCCGCTGCTTCTAACACTAAGAGTAGAGATCAAACCGGCGAATCACAACTTTTTAATGATGGTATTTTATCACCTAAACGATACCAGTATTGGCTGTTAATATATCCAACAGACCACTGCTGATCAGCTCTCTGT